GCATGCAAATTGAACCCATACTGATACCCCCTGCATCCTCTAAGATGGTGGGAACAAGCTACAAAGCTGATGCGGGACACCACGATGGTGTTTGGATCTCAGTGGTCCAACTTTGTCAAACCTTGACTATCTAGAATCTAGTTCGACCGTGCTATTGGTAATTAATCAAGATCTTCACAGTGTGCATCGTCCATGTCATCTTGGGGCCTCGTGCACTGGAGGTCGTCTCGAGCAACGGCAGCGGAGTTGAGGGTGAAGTCATGGCCTTGGCAATGCAAACTTTTGAAGACTGCATCTCAAATACTTTAGCTCGCAAACTAACCCGAATCAATCTAATCTGCTCAGACTACTTTGCAATTAGATCTGTCAACCTTTTGGATCAACTGGAACTGGAGGAACGCCAAGAAGTTTTATGAGAAGACCCCTCCAACGTCTACCGGAACGAAGGGTAAGCCTAGCCCTAAGACAGAGGGCAAGGCCGCCAAGGAGAACACGGCAGCTGCGAAGGCAACTGTTGTCAAGACCAAGAAGCCCAAAAGGGGCAAGCCGGTCAAGTAGGTCTTGATATTGGTGTGTGACTTTGGGCTCTGACCCACATGTCAATGTTTGAATCGTCCGCACATGGAGCTAGAAAGCTCGAGGCAACTCCAGGCGTTTTGGGGTTCATGTGGGTTTTGCTGCGCAGGCTTTAACAGCATTCCCATGTTGAACCTTTGGGGTTCAAAACGGCCAGGATAGATGCTTCAACTTCCGTTCTGCACTTGAAAAAGAAAGCGGTTCTTTGCAGTTTGCCTGCAAATGTTAGCTACAAGGTGGTTTTCCAAAATCTGGATCTCTTTAACCACTACGTGATCCCCTTTGGCTTTTCCCTGACTTTGGCCAAGAATCCAAGAGAGGTTGAAAGGCTAGGACATATTTTACATTTGATTCGTTTCACTGTCAACCTACCTTGGAGAGAGTTCAGAATCCAAACTACTTTGCCACTGTGGCATTGCCAGGTGCCGGTCCAGCTTTGCGGCAATGGATGCGTGATGTTTCTGATGGCGTCCGGGCCTTGGAACGTCCGGACTGCCAGAGTGTCTGCCACAGTTCGATCACCATCAGACACAAGGTCAGTTGGGCTCAAATGACAGCATTTTTTTTTGACTAGATTAGATGTGATTGATAAAGTGTCACTGGTAGATCTCCCGATTTCAGCAGCCATGGAGGAAAGCCCTGAAGAGGAACTTCTGGATTTGTTCACGTCCCATCGATCCGAATCTCATCTTAAACATGCGTGTTGAGAGGAGTTGCGCATGTTGAAACAATTCTGAACACGCTTTGTTTGCAACACCTTTTGAAATCCAGTGCGCCGCAAAGAAAACCGGCTCTCTGAAAACTCAGCATGCAGCCCAGGTCGCTGAATACCCATTTCCCTGGCATGTCCAAGGGCAAGACAAATCTGTTGCGAACAACACCAAGGAGGAACTTCCTAGCAGGACTTACCGGCCAGTTACATGGCGAGGCCACATCGATGCAGCGATGGTTGACCCACACATCAGCACGTTGATGGATGAGATAGACCAACATGACAAGATTACCCTTTGGCTGCCGCTGAAACCAACAACAGCCGGCAATGTTTTGCAGCACTGTTGCCGTGTGATGGAGACCCTGTTTGAGACCTATGACCCTTGCATCTTCAAGGTGGGGTTCACTCGCCACCCCATCATTAGATGGGAAAATCGCAAGTACGGCTACTCCAGGGACCGGGAACGGTGGGAGCGCATGGTCATTTTGTTTACATCCACAGAGCCGTGGAGTGCTGCAATGCTGGAAGCAGCCCTCATTCATGAATTTGGGGGACACTCTGAAGCACTTTCATGGCGGGCCCTTGCGCTTTTGCAAGTCAAACTCATGATAAAAATCTATATGATCCTCTGAACCCCAATCCTTTCACCGCCGACCACCACGCCAAACTCAGGAAAGCCTGGTTGCAAAAACGTCCGTCGAGGTGGAGATTCCGTTTGCCATGAGGAGGACGCCTCAGGAGCGAGCGCGGTGTATGTCGTGTACAGAAGCTTCAAAGTGAAGCCAACTTAGACTGGGACAGGTTGCAATCTGTTTGTGCAACTTCCCCCTCAAATCTGGATGGTGCTTAATTCGTCGCATGGTGCATTGATACGGGATATCCACGCTCTCATAAACATGAAACGTGGAAATTCGCTCGGTGCTATTTGGTTTCGATGCAAACCTATTCGGGGGTACTTTGAATAAAGACCGTTTCATATGCAAAAGAAAAGTGGAGACATTTCAGCTGTGCAAATTAAGCAACATCTTTCCTGTTGTAATTGTTGAACTTGTGGAGATTTTGCTCTGCATCTGACATCCACTAAAGTTCTGGACGGTGGCATTGATTTTCCATGTTGTTCCATTCCGGTTGAAAAGGGGCTCCGTGCTGACCGGCCAAGGCCCCTTGCAGCTCAACCATTCGGGCAGCTCGCGCTGTTGTGGAGGAGGTCCCAGGTGCTGAAAGAACAACAGTCGGGGTGCTGGCCAATGCCAGGCTGGATCATTCTGAGAAAAATGTTCACAAAATAGCGAAGGAATATCAGCTTACAGTCCCTCTGGACCTGACACCAGTTCAAATATCAAAAGATATGGAGGTGCCAGTTCTACTTCTGAGTTCGTGGTTCAAGTACCTGATGTCCATGAACCTGTGGCATACTCTCAGTGGGCTATCTGAACCTGATGATGCACGGTGCAAAGCTCAATGGGGGCTTCTTTGGGACAACTTCAGAAAGATCATGCCGCGCCACCGTGTTTTTCAGCTGGCGAGCTCGGGGGTGATAGAGTTAGAAAGGACCGCAGCACTTCTGCTGCATGGTGATGAGGGTAGATCAAAAAAGAAAACAGCTATCATGATTTTGAACGTGTCTTCAATTCTGGGGCGCGGGTCCGATGTGAAGAACCGCCGAGCAACACTACAGACAGATTATGCGAAACAGGACATCAACTTCAAAGGAAATACTTGGGTAACCAGGTACCTGTTGGCTGTTCTGCCTAAGGGCATGTACGACCCAAAAAAGGGTGTTGGCGCTGCGTTCGATATGTTGTCGCAGTGTTTGGTGGATGATATGAACGAGGTGATCAACAACGGGATGATGTCACTCAAGGGTGAGAAACATTGGGTGATCCCAATTTACTGCGTTGGGGATTGGCCATTCCATCAAAAGTGCTTTCATTTGTCTCGAACTTTCGGGTCTGCTGCAAAGCAAGCCAGCTCAAAGCAGGAAGCAAAAGGAATTTGCCACAACTGTCTAGCAGATCAAGCTGGCTTTCCATTTGAAGACTTCGAGTCGCCAGAGCCGAGATGGAGGACCACAATTGGACAAGTGTCGCCCTTCCTGCAGGATCCTATATTCCTGCAGTTGCCACATGATGACACATTGCCCACATCGTTCATAGGCCTGGACTTGTTTCATGGCTTCCACATTGGGGCTGGAAAGGTTTTCTGTTCAAGCGCTTTAGTGCTGGTGTCAGAGCAGCTTCGAGGGTCGTCAGTTCCCAAACGCTTTGAGAGTTTGCACGAAGCTTTTTTCGAGTGGTGCACGCTGAAAAAGCAACGTCCGTTCATCAGGAAGCTCTCCCAGGAGACGATCAAGTGGATGCAAACCACAGACTTTCCCAGTGGTGCATGGTCAAAGGGAAGCACAACATTCTGCCTACTTCGCTTCATCATTGACTTTTGTCGACGCACCGAAGAAGAAATTCGGGGGACACTGCTTCACACGTGCTTTCTAGCGGCTGTGGAAATAGACCTTTTCTTCTCCAAGCTCTTCAAAGAGGGTGTTTGGATCCCAGGGCCTAAGGCTCTTGAGATTGCAAGTCACGGGTTCTCATTTCTGAGATTCAATGGGCGTGCAGCCTACGCTGCATACACAGAGGGAAGGGCGCTATTCCCTTACATGCCCAACTTACACAGACTTCATGAGATATTCTTTGGTTTGAAGGACCAAGGAACGATCGCTGGTGTTGCCTTAAACCCCCTCTGTCATTCGACACAGATGGCAGAGGACTACATTGGTAAGCCCTCTCGCATCAGCAGACGGGTATCGTGTCGTTTGGCCGTGACTAGGACCCTGCAGCGGTCATTGGTTGCCACATTTGCCCACTTGAAAGATGCTGGGTATGTAAGGTAGTTTAGATTACCTCCTAACTTTCCTTGGCATCCGGACATAGAAGTTCCAAGTGCAGCGGCCGCGTTGAGCCATGAAAGGAGGGCGGGACTGAGGGCGGGCAGGTGGTGGAAGCTAGGGTTTCATCATGGTTTCATCCAGAAGCCAACATGAACCAATCCATCATGTGAAAACCGCGTTTTCATGTCAATATCCTGGTTATTTTCCAGATCCTGCTTTTTCTTGGTGTCTTGGCTTAGAAGGGGATTATATATAGGCTAGGGTAGACAACATGTCCTGCATCCTCCACCTCGCTCGATCTCGGTCCTCAAGAACACTCCATCGGTTACCGGGGGAGCTACCGGTGTCTCGGGGAGCCTACCGGGTGGACGTTGCTGGCTTCGCGACGTCGTGTTTGCCTCGCGTTGGCCGAACACAGCTGCACCCAAAGTGCTTGTGGCGGCGCCGCGTTGCCGCATCCATTCCCGCCGCAAAAGCGGGCGGCACCGTTCTTCTTGGACTTACGGTGTTTTGCGGTCACTTTCGGCGCTGGGGTGTTCGGTGTGCGGACTTTCATGGAGAAGGAACATGTTGCATTATAGATGTCACGTTTGTAGCACTGTAGACAGCAAATGATCCCAGTTAGCCAAGTTATGTGGGGAAAAGACATAACTGCGGGAAAAACAATAACCACCAATCTAAGGAAAAATAACACATTGAACAACAAAAACATCTCTGTGTTCCCTGGACTTGGCGTGAGACCATGGAAACAAAAGAAAGGCCAGGGAACTCCGGCCCCAGCAGCTACTCTTCGACCGAGAAGAGGCCGCGACCGTTCGACCCGAGGATTGCACGGACCTGACGCCTTTGGAGATAGACTTCAAGTCGCTGAGGAAGGCGTTCGGACGGTCGTGGCCGGGGCGACCCCCAGGGCGCTCAACGGTCGTTGTTGGGGGGTTCGGGTTGCGTCCGAAGTGTTGCGCTCTAAGGTGTGTGTTTCCGAAAGAAGCTGGGTAAATCAGGGTGAGTTGAACTCCTCTGGCATGGGGTTTCGAGGCGCGCGATTTTTCCCAGGCCCTGGCAGCAGCAAATGTCAAGGTTTTAGGAGACCAACTGGGCCCGCAGATGGGTTCTGCCCTTAGCCCCTTTGGCTCATAAGGATTCAGAAGGGATTTATAGTTCTGAACTTCTAAAGGTAAGCTACCACTGGAGCATGCTGATGGCATGTGGCACCACCATTGGAGACCCATCCTGGATAATTGATCCGTTCTTCTCATACCAACAAGCCCCAGATGGCTTCGTCGCCACTAGGGCGCCACCTACATGAGGAGCACACTGAGGAGGGCCACATAAAATCGCTTTGATATTTGGCAGGTGACGGCGAAGTTCATGACAGAGGGCCACTGCATCTTCCTGACGCACTTCAAAAAGGACCGGGATGTGTTTGCTTGGAGCTGTGCATCAGCGCTGCAGTTCTTCCATCAGCGCTGCAGCAGTTCATCGGCAAAGAGTGTTAGACATCCCAACCATGCTCCCTTGTTTCACAACCCTCCGGTTCTGTTTCGTTTGTCGCATTGAGACCTACCTTACGTGACCTGCCTCGCTTGAGTGCACCAGAGCGCCCGAGAAATCACAACGACGAGCAACCCGAGCAATGTAAGGATGTAGAACAACCCCCCTCCCGGCCATGGGGCGATTGGGGATCGGACAGCTCTTGATATGGGCGGTTGATTACTCTCTATCCAACACCAACAGAGGTTGAAGAACCCTATACGGACTATCCCATAGGTACCCCAGGTTTTCCGGGTCCTATTGACGGTCACTGAACTCACTGGCTACCTCTCTTGGAAGACATGGAAGTGGACAGCACGGCCCTTTTGAAGGAAAGACCGGAAAAATCTTCCAAAAACTAAACAGGCCGTGATGTCCACCTCTCATGATGGTTGGAGGGAGGGAGATCAAGAGTTGAGAGAAATGGTGCTGGGATCCCGCTCCGGGAAGCACCCGCGATACAGAATCCAGGGGGGCATTGCCCCCTTGGATTCTGTAGTGAATGAGGGGCTTTTTCACTAGAGAATCTGGGGATCTCACTACAGAATGTCTATGACCCTCTTTGGAATTCTCACAGGGATGTGCTGGGGTGTTGTTGCTTTTTAGTTGAAGAACTGGCCCTTCAGCGTCACCTGGCTAAATTGCCCCATGTTGGTTTTCGCCGAATTTGGGACACCAAGAAAAAGAACGGCTACTTTACGTGACAAAGGGCCGTGTCCACCAAAACATGCCCAAACCCAGTTTCTTTCAGCACCACGGAAAGGTTTGTCATGGGATGAATATACATAGTCAGGGGGTCTGTACAAACCATCCGCTGTGGTTCTGGTCGTTGTGCCGTTTTGTTGGTCTTTGATCTGCTTTACCTCCACGTCCTGAGTCCTGAGCGTGCCCCCCGCCCCCGTCTCCCACGAGGGACTGGCTGCTCGCTGTCCCAGGAGGCAGGGACAGAGGCGGCGCTCATGCAGGAAGCCCTTACGCCGGGGGCCCTGGCGGTCGGCTGGCGGGGTGGGGGGGGTGCGACCAAGGCTGAGAAGGCCAGTGCGTCGTTGCAACCTAGAAATGTTCAGAATAATCATGAATACAACTTTCACCGGTAACTTTCAACATTAAAGTCATTTGGATTGCAACATCCAAATGTCTGGCGGGTGGGCGGATTCCTGTTCTGAAAACGCTGAGATGGCAGGGTTTCTGGGAGGAGCTTCTCTCAGAAAGCTGATTGTGGTTTACTTGACTCGAGGTCCGCTTTCGCAACAATAGGATTCGATGGGGGGCCGTATCATGAAATCAAATCACAGTCGACTGTGCGAATAAGACGCAGCGTCACGCATCGCCAGACGCAGCGTCACGCATCAGGCATTTCATGAACACCAAGGAGCAAAACAAATCCACAATCGAGAAGTTCCCCTCTTTGATTCCCCGTCCGTCCATGGTGGTGTTCTGGTCTTCGATGATTTTTGGTCCACGTATTTGCAGGGAGTGTGATTACTCATGGAGGCGAAGAGGCGAATTTCTGAATAGAATGATCCCTGTTGGAAAGACATAGAGCCTGGTAGCAGCCAATTAGAGTGATGGTTCCAAGCGTCACTGGCCGACCCGTCCCTTCTAAGCGGCTTAAAGGTTTTCGGATCAGATGGCACAGCTCTGTCGTTCCAGAATTGGTTGCAGGGAACATCTACAGGAAACCGCAGAGTTCGGGCCTAAAGCTCATCACCACGGTTTCCCATAGATGTTCCCAAGCAGCTCCATTCCAGGTATATATAACCCGAACAAGCAGCTCATCCCCCTCCAAAAAAGACCATCGAAAAGCTCTTCAGGTGTATGACCCGAATGTGTGCCATGCCGAGGAGCAAGATTCAGTCAGATCCACAAAATCCGGCACACTACTTGGAGCACCCGGTCTTCTTGGACACTGTGCCTTGGTCTCAAACACCGTGCCTACCAACAGAGGTGGAAGAACCCTAGTTCGACTATCCCATGCCCTGCGAGTCAAAGGTCTTTAGGGTATCCAAAAGGGAATTTCCTTTGCTTCACTAAGGGAAAGTATAGTCTTCGGACTTCTAGGCATAGGTACCCCAGCAGGGTCCTAGAATCCTAGAAGGTCACTTAACCTCTCTTGGTATTAGAGGGTGGCAGGGATGCGCAGGCTACTTGTGCGCTGGTGATTGGACTGAAGCCATCACATTGTTTTGACACTGCTTTAGCTAGCTAGTGCATGTTTGTTGTTATGAGTCGTGAGTTGATTGCTCATGGTTGTTCTGAAGGAGGGGTCAAATGATATGATTCCATGGCTGGTTCAGATATGATACATTTCAACAAGATACATTTCAGCAAACTATGTTTCAACATGTTTCAACGACTCCATCAGAATAAAACAAGGACGCTTCCCTGCCGGTAAGGGCCTAGTCTGCTCGCCTCCTCTCTTCCATGGCGCATCACCGCATTCACGCATCAACGAGGAGAATCTGGAAGACCTAGCCAAGTTGAGGGACCACATCCTGGCCAGCCGGAACTTGGTCCTCCCTGGCCCGTTTGTGAGACGGACCGGTTGCGGTCTCGATGCTTTGGAAGTCGCTGGAAAGCGTTTTAAGTCGGATGGCCCTCCGCCCTCGAATGCCCAGTTTCCTTTTGTCTCACTAGCAGCCGCAAGTTAGCATCTCCCCCCAAGTTATTGCTTCTTTTGTGGAGCTTTCGGGGGGGGCGCGCCTCAAGGCAAGCCGTAGTCAAACCGGGAAGGCGCTGCGATCGAGAAATCCTCAATGTTTCGCCCAACTGCTCCGGAGAAATGGGGGCCTGGCCTGGCCGCACATGACTCTCTTTGAAGGAAGGCCTGGCGAATCAGAAAGCTTCCGTTCTCCCCCTGGACCGGTCGGTCGGAGAACGCGCTCGGTCGGACTCCAAAAGGGGCCGTTCTTGGGCGGTTCCCAAAAGGACCAGACTGTTCTCATCCAAACCCGAGCCTCAAGGGCACATGCAGGTGCATGCGGAGCCTGGCGGCTTTTGGGGGGGGGCGTTGTCGGAGGAGAAGTGCTTCTTACGTGGGACCTGCGGGGGCCTGGGGCACTGGTAACGCCAAGGGTTGGACTAGGTTGGACCCTTGTTGCGGAGAAGATCAGCAAGTCAAGTCAGATCACAGCAAGGGAAGCGCATAGAAAGAGGGTGATGGCGCATGATGGCATAGAAACGTACCCTAAACATTCCAGGCAGGTCCAGGTGCATATGACTTTGCGCCACATGTGGATGGACAAACCTGCAACAGATCCAAGCATATGTCGTGCGTTTTTCTCATTCCACACCCATGATCACCTATGTGAAGGAAACTCTACAAGCCAATGCCAATGCATCCAAATAATTCCTCAACATTACTGTATATACCTATGACCTCTATTTTGGACCAAAAGCCACCCAAAATATGGTCTTTTCCTATCAAGACAAAGGTCAAACGGGTTCCAGGTATATATCCAACCGGGATCTCGGACATTCAATTGATGGTCCAGCCGGTCCAGCCGTTCGCATCCGTTCTTCTCACGGCTGAAAGGGAAGAAAACCACACCGAGGCAGACCTGCCAGCACCTTCAAAGGGGTCACCTGGCTGGAAGCCCTTACACTACCATCCGGGATCTCCAGCCAGGACACCCCTTTGAAGGTCCAGGTGGCCATTGCGATTGGGTGAAGGGTTCTCTTTGGAAGAGGTTGATATGTTTCCGCTGCTACCATGAAGACAGACAGGTTTTTCCCTGGGTTTGGTAGCCTTAAACTAACCATCTAGATAAGCATTGTTTCAAAGAGGAGATGTTGTTCGGGATTCAGCCAAATAGAATCCAATAGAACATACATCAAATGCAATGAACACTGCCAAAAAACAGACACATCCTCCGCAGTTTCCTCGCCCATCCAGTTGCACCCCCCTTCCTTCCCAGTGAAAAACATGTGCGCGAAGTCTCGCGGCCAGGTGGTCCTGTTGACACCCGGCATCTTCGAACGGCCGTGGTGCTTGGTGGAGATCGTCACGGCGCGGTTTGGGACGACGACCGACTCTCGCGTCGTAGTCCGTGGGTCTCGGGCTGGGCGGGTTGGGAGTGAAGTGTAGCAACAGAGGTGGGTCAGGGACCCGACTGCTCGCCCCTTCGCCTATCCCAGTTTGGTACCCCAGGTGGACCAGGTCATCCCTTCGGACGAGGTGGTTTTGTTGGACCAATACGACGCATGTGGTATCCTGCCCAAGCAGCCTGACGCTGGGAGTCCAGGAAAGATAGGAGAGACCAATTTCATCCATTTTCACAAGTGTAGTCTAACGCGCGGTGGCCCGAAGTTTGGAATGTCCTTACAATTTGGTGGGGCCAAATATCGTCGATAGGGGTGATGCTTGCTGGCTATGCTATGCTCAAAAGACTCTGAATGTGCTTCCCTTCGGGGCGGGACAGCGCTCTGAATGTGCTGTCGAACTGCAATGACCCCCAAAAAAACGCTGTTGGCCGTCGGGCAGGCCTTCAAGCAAAACCGGAACATTGTGCCTTGGCAGAACTCAGCAGAACCGGTTTTTGAGGTCACGAAAGCTAGCAGCAGCTAGCTGGAGTTGTCCTTGCTTTAGCAAGTGAGGGGCTGGAATTTTCGAGATCGCCGCATCACGTGAAAACTTCATCCCTCCCTCCCCCCTCCCCCCCCCCCCCCCCGCGGGTTCAACTCCCCCCTGGGACGCCTCTGGGACACCTCTTGGACACCTCTTGTAGCATCCACTTTGGTTCAACTCCGCCGTGGAGGTTTTGGGATACGATGCAACAGATTCAACAAATTCACAAGCTAAGGTTGGCTGTGTCATTGCTGCTCGTGCGTCTTACATGTTCACAACGTTTTACCTCATGAGCGAGACCTTGTGAACCATCCCTCCAACAGCCCCATGCCTATGAAAAAAGATTTGCCTCACTCCGCTTGATGTCCTACCAATCCTTTGTCACTGGACGGCGCTGTATGCTTCGCCTCCACTGACACGGATGCATCCCTGCTAGCTTTCGTCACCTACCCTCGGCCTCAAGTATAATTACCAGCTTCTTCAAAGTGACCTCTTTGGAGTGCCTAAGTGACCTTTTACAGGCCCAAGTGACCCACTTTGAAGAACCAGGTACCTGACCCGGATCTTCCAACTTTGCCCAATTTCTGCCCAATTTGATGTGTATATATATATATATATGAAAAGGCATACATGTGTCACAGTTGGAAGTTGGAAGATCCAGATTTATACACCAGCAGTCACGTTCGGTAAGGGGTGCGGACTCCATGGAGGGTGCCGGTTCCGGGGTGCCCCGTCGTCACATCCACGGCCCCTGGATGGGACGAGCCACCCCACCCAACTCGCGACATGTGACTGCTGGCCCGTCCCGCGGGTCTCCTGGCCCACCATTGATGGTATTTCCCAGACACGACGATGCATGGGACTGCCAGTCCGGACTGCCGATCAGTTGGGGTGGTTTTGGGGGGTCAATGTAGGTAAATATTCCATACATGGAGTGTTTGGGTTTTATATCATGGGGGTTCGAATTCCGATGGTCGGATGGCGTCTGAACTCCAGACAAATGAACCTCCAACCCTCCAGCCAGTCCAGCAAATCGCGCGCCGGCGCGAGTGATTTGGACCTCCGAGGTGTTAGTTGAAATCCAAAAGCCGGACATGAAGTTCGAGTTTCCGGATGAGGACACCGGACCTTCTGTCAGTCTGTTGTTGGTCACTGGAGCTTGATGGAAGGGATGGACCAAACTTGCTCATGGAATCTTATCAATTCGACATATATTTTAATATTATTTGTTGCTTTTTATGATTCAGGATTCGAGTTCTTGAATCAAACTGCGAGTGCTGTGAATTCTTGATTCAGTCAGGGTCTTCTATAGTTGGCTTAGGGTCTCCGGTTCAGGTTTGAATTGTAGGAAGTTGTCTACTTTCCCACCTGTATCGGTAGAACCTATCCAGTTCTCAGCGACAGGTGGTCACAGGTCGGTCGCCAGGGAACCGCATGGAACCATGAAAAGGATCGAACATGCATCTCCAGACCTATGCAGCAAATACATAAAACCTAGAACAGTTTCTTATAGAAACCCATGTCATATAACACCCACGGGCATCTTGCCATGTTTTTGTTCAACGCTTCTTTCAAGGACACCGACGTCTCTTGCTCTCCACGGGCATCGCCTCGGTGTCCACCCGGTCGTGACCGGCCGCCCGGTCCGACACCAGTCCGTCCCGCCCCGCCGAACGACCCGCGAACGACCCGCAGCCGCGGAGGAGTTTATCCTTGACCTTTGTGACGGGAGACTCTTCAGCGAAACGGTGCCTCGGCGCGAGCGGGGACGGTCGAAGCGATGTCCTTGCGAGCGTGGCGGGCTGCGAGGGGCTTTTGCGTCAGGGGGCGTTGCTGTGAAGACTCCAGAAGCCTCTAAGAAAGGCCTGGCAGTAGGCCTGGCAAGTGCCTTTGGCGGCCGGTTTGGCACGGTAGTGGTGGGTTGTCACCAGCAGATGGGGATTTTGTTATTATTGAGTCATTCGAAGTTCTGGGCTGGATGGTGAGAACATCCTGGAACCTTTTTTTTTTGGGGGGGGGACAGCACCCACCACCGTTCTAGAAGCACCTGGGGGATTTGAGCTTTGGAGCTTCAAGATCTTTGGGGGGGCAGATGGGGAAATATGAAGCTAGTCGGTGCGTAGGAGGAAGCTCAAGAAGTGGGGAGATCTTCCTCTCCAGATACTCCTCCATGTAGGGAACATAACATGGCTGTGGGTCAAAACCTGGAGCCTGTTTCACCCTGAGATGTTGGCCTCCGTAGTCTGTTCAACACCGGTCCTCCACTAGGTGATGGTTTCAGATATTTTTTATGTTCAACCCTTACTTGGGGATGATTGGGCCCTCTGACTAATATGTTTCAAGTGGGTTGAAAACACCGACCAGTCCAGTTGTTAGATCCACCGCCATGTGCCGAGCAGTTGGGGGTGGTTTGGCAGGTTTTGCAAGACATCGTACTGGCTCCGTGGTGGCTGGCGGAGCTGAGGATATGCAAGTCTTTGCACTTGAGCAGATTGAGTTGACGGACATTGAGGAGAGGGGCGACAGATCGGGAGGAAAGCCTTTTGGTGGGTGGGGGATCTTGCGAAGACCATGCGGACTTAGGACAAAGGCAATCATCACAGTCAAAGGGAAAACCTCCTCCAGGACCTTCCCAGTGACCTTTTTTGGAGTCCCTAAGTGACCTTTTACAAGCCTAAGTGACCTCGAAGCAGGGGATCAAAAGGTCACTGGGAAGATCCAGGCTCATCTTAGATCTGTTGGGAAGGAACCTTCATGGTACGACCGGTTGTGACACTGCGTGAGGCCCCGGTTCACCCCAGACTTCACACGATGTCGGAGAAAATCCTCGACCCCAGACACGACTGATGGGACTGCCATATATGCCGATCAGTTGGGGAGGTTTCAGGGGTCAATGTATAGGCATCTATGGCAGTCCCATCAGTCCTGTCTGGGAACAAGCCTCTTGATACCAGGGCCACCCACCCACCGGTCTGGACATCCCGGACGTTGGACGTGACGTTGCCCACATCGTCCGTCCATTCTCCTGGATAGTCCGTCGACGATTCATCTACTAGCCTTGAAGTAGGCCCAGAAGTGGCCCAAAACAGGGGTCCTACGATGCGGACCCAGGATGGGACCTAGGTGTGACTCCAGGCCACGCCTTTTTTCAATTAAGACGTTCCGATGTCCATGAAACAGCTTCCTTTCGGTTTTTTTTGTTTCCTGGTGTGCTGTCGTGAGTTTCACCCCTTCTGGAGAAGATCTTCTACGATCATTCTGAGCCCCCGCAACTTGGGGTGTCTATGTAAATAGCCCCAAACAGCCGTGATTCGGGGTGTCCATTAACCACCCCTTTTTCAGGCCCTGCTATGCTGACAGGTTCTTCCCGTTCGCAGCGCCGGTCACCGGAAACCGCGTCCGAGTTCGGACGACCCATCGGACCATCCGGGAGGTCAGATGGGTCTTCCCACATCGATTTGGGGATCGGGAGATCGAGCCTATCACCGCCCTGGTCCCAGGGATGTCCCAGGGTATGCCAGGCTAGGCCAGACCGAAGTACCGAATTTTCGTGTTGGCAAAGGCGAGGCGGCCCTCAAGCTGGTCACGAGCAGCACTTTTCTCCGACACTCCTTGAGAAAATCGGACAAATGCCGTTTGCGGAGCCTGTTCTCGGACACCCCCCCGAAACTTCCGCTCGGTGCATTTGGAGCTTCCAAGGCCCCAGGGAGGGGTCGGCCTAGTGGCCTAGTAGTGGACCGGAAGATGTCTCCACACCAGCGGGCACCACCCGCCGTCCTCCCGCACAGGTGGCCTTGCGACACGTGCTCACAAAGATCGCCCTGCCGTTTTCGCCACACAAAGCGAGTGGCTTGGCAGACTGCCTTGCGCACGCGTGTTGTGGAGGAAGAATGAGGAGGATCATTATGGTGTTGTGTGGTGTTGGTAGGCCTTTCTTTGGCGAAGGGGCCTGCCCCTGTTTTGAAGATGGGTTTGAAGCTCGCACTTTGGAGGGTCTCCATTGTTCGGTGTGCGTTTTGGGGGTGCAATATGTGCCACACGTGGAGGCGATCTTTATAAGCGGCTTTCTACAAGAAGAGAGCAAGACCTAGAGATCAACCCACAACCTTCCCCAGTACTTCACGGGGTATGTTCCGGCATGGCCATATAGAATGGATCTTGGACGAGTGATGACTCAATGACGAGTGTCACCAACTGTTTGCAAGCAAGTTATCTTATAGTAGCTGTGTTGGTAGCTTGAGTAGCCAGGGCAGCTATCTAATCCACCTCGACCCCTTAAGGTGGAGCATATAACAAATTTTGGATATTTTTGATCTTCCGCGAAAATGCTCAAAGGCAATCACAAGCCTGCAGCTGAAGCAACAAGATGCAACAAGATTGCACACTGGAGCGCCCAAAGGACCCAGAACGAACCCTGAAAGTCAACTTCAGGTCAACTTCATATGTGAGGAACCCTGGGTTTCTTGCATGGACAAGGGGTGGAACATGTTCATTCTGTGGTCCCTGCCCTTGTGTTAGGCACCCACCTAATAGTCTGCAACTAGGTGGTTGCTGCTGCTGGAGCGTTCCAGCAGAATGTGGGATGAGCTGGCCACAGGCGGCCTTCCTGGCCGGCCTTCCTGCTTGATATTGATGAAGCCAACAAAAGCCTCCTAGAACCCCCCCAAGATCCCATGGATTGGTCACCCTGCTTTCACGGTCATGGCAGCGGGCAGCGGGCTGCGGGCTTTCTCACCTTCGACCTGCCCCACTGAGGCTCGATCCGGGATGTGGAAATCAAAGCGATCCTGCAGCGGTGTATCATGTAGGCATGGATTTGCACCGTTGGGACTCACCATGACCAGCCATGACAGCCACCTGTTCGAGACCACCGAAGATGCAGCGGTGAAGCTTCAAGCTTGGGCAAAAAACGAGTTTTCCCCTGCACGAACTGGTGAACGAAGGGTGAGCCTTTTGAAGTGTTGGGGGAACTCAGCGAGTCCTTGCACATGGCTTGCCATGGCTTGCCTAGATATATAAGGTCCCCCCTATCACGTGGTTGTCACCTGGGACCCTGAGCCCATCAGTATCCATTGGTAGGACCGCAGCCAGCATCTCTCTGACCACGAGTAGCACTGCAAATCCATCCGCCCACAGGTCTCCGGGCGGAGTTGCCAACCCAGCCGGGGCGGTGTTGGGGTGGGCAAGGCCTGAGGATGTTGGAGCCGTAGGGTAGAACGATTCGTTCACTTGCGTGGTTCGCTTGGGAGAGATGGAGGATCATGATGGATCATGCCACCGTGTTTCTGCTTTGTTCTTGGCCATTGCCCTCCTTTCTTCGACTCCGCCGCTGGGGGCGCCAGCAGCGCCCGGAGTTCCGTTGCCGTTTCACGGATGGCGCAAGGGCCGCTTTTTTTCGAAGGGCGCAGCGTGGCAGGGTGGTCAAGCTGCAGGAGCTGGAAGTACTGATCATTGGTTGTACATCCCACACTGACCCACTAACACTACTAGTCCGTGGAAGTTGATGGCTCCTTGGAAGGTCAGTTTGCTCTACAAAAGGAGGGGTGTTCCACGTCCATGTTAGTGAGTGGAATCGTATATATGCGGTTAAGAATCTTGACATTTTGAGAGGGAGTCTATGAGTAGCCCCTGAGCCCTGATTTTTACAGATGGATCTGCGATCGGTCAAGACCTAGATGGACCAGTGATGGTTCCTTCTGCAGTTCCACCCCCCCCCCGCCGCCTGCCAAGCCCCGATCCTCCGCCGCCGAAGAATCCGCTGCGTCAAGCCGCCGTCAAGGGCTGAAGAAGGCTGAGTCGATGTGGCGATGTCCTGCCACACCTAGTGGCCGGGCCGAAGTGCTTATATCAATTCATCTGAGGAAGGGCGCTTCACCCACTACCCGACAGAGGTTTCAAAGGATGTCGCAGAGTTGATGGGCTTAGAACCTGAACGACCTCTAATTTGGATCAGCCGCCCAAAAGCTTCTTCCTGTCAGCACAGAGGTCTTCCTGGGGGAGAAAAGGGGCGAAAGGGGGGGTGTCCAACACATCATCTACATGTTGACCCAACAGAGGTTGAAGAACCCTACAGGCTATCACATTATAGGTACCCAGCAGAGCCATAGGATAGCCGAACTAGGGTTCTTCAACCTCTGTTGCACACCAGGTGTTCCCGGTCACCCTGTTTGCTGAACAAACCATGGATGGGAACAAGGGAATTCGGCCTGGCTTTGGAAAACACCAGGGAAAGCAGGTCTCATGAGACGAACTGCCATTGGGTAGGCCACATGGATGTCAGACATCTCAATCGACACGACCTGTCTGGGACTGCCATGTCGGACTGCCGCCCCAGACAGATCCCCCCAGTCAACCACCACCCCAGGGCCCCTGGCCGGAACTCTCGGCAGTGACTGGCAGTCCCATGCATCGTCGTGTCAATGCGGGTCCTCAGAGCCTGAAAACGGCCGTTACAAGCAGCAGGATAGCAGCAGGATGTCAGGCTGAGCTGGGGAAGACCATGTGTTCTGACTGATGTTCTTGTTGACACTGCCGCACCAAGGGAGCTTCCCCAGTTCCCGTTGATGCCATCCGCCAACTCAGATTCCCAGGTGGTCTTGATCGGGACGGGGTTGATTCATGTTGAAGTCATTGACCAAGGAGTTGTTTTAAAAAGAATGGAGGGGGGCATCGTTCACATCACGGCTTCGATGATGTGACAAACGCCTCGGTCATGCACCGTGTTCCGCGTACGCGACGGTCGTGTTCCGTTGGAGTCCGTCTTGGACTCCTGTTGGCCAACCATCACATCCCAAAGCAACTGGTGCTTCCCCGGTGCTTGGAACTTCTTTTCAGGCGAGATCTTCATCAAGAGCCATAGAGCCCACTTGGCAAGGTCATGTGGACTCTTGATGAACCACCCATAAAGTGAGCCCCCAGACGTAAAGCCTCTTCATGTGGGAAACGCTGAAGTATCATCACCAATACATACCCTGGACTTCCACGACCAGAAACAATGGTTGACCTGGTTTTGTAACCTGGTTTTGTAAGAGTAAAATCCTTAGTTGCTTCGGGACCTCGGGATTCAGCCTTTAATTAATGGTGGGCCAGGAAGTCTAAGGGAATATCTATCGAGCCACCGAGATCGACTTCAAGCAGCGGCGAATCGGCCCATTGGCGAGATTGACGAGTCTCATAAATTGGTCTCACCAGTTTTGACGCCGTGCTTTGGCGGCGATCAGATCCGATCTTCGTTGCTCAGCCAGGCTTTGGCGCCGGTGCAGCGGGGGATCTCATCCATCGATGCCCATCCATCCCGGTTCCAAACGCATCCAGTTTTTTGCATGTTTTGGCCATACCGCGCAGATGTTCGCAAGTGACCCCACAGCCGACTTAGCCTTCAGTTCGACCAATGGTAGAGCTGCTCCTGTAAGGATCCATGGCACACCGAGTTTCCGCCCGATCTGGATTCGAAGCCCTGAGTGTTCCCTGGGCCATGAGGGTCATGAGGGCCGGGGAGACCAGTCTTTGGGAACTCCAAAAAACCCTGGAAGTCAAGTCGGCCATGTTGAAAATGGGAACGATCTGGTGGGTTTTGTCGTGTCGAACCCTTAGTCAAAGAGCTCGGTGGTTCGGGATGACCCGGCTATTCAAACAAGGGCACGGCCAAAGCCCGCTCGGCAAAGCAAGTGCATGCTAGTAGATTCGTGGTCCGGCGGCCCTGGGAGTGTAACAGCCTTGCAATTGCTCCACCATGGTGAAATACGACTGACTGCTCGGGTGCTCCAAGCTAGCGACCAAACCCATAGTGCCATAGGGAAAATCACTACGGTCAGCAGCCAACCACTTACTGTAACCCTCCCTGCGACACACATGAAAGTGGACAACCCCCCCCTGTTTGGTATTCGGATTTCATGGTCATCCGAACTGGTGCTCAGGATGTCCACGGAACCCGAGTTTTCCAATGCTGGTTGAAGTTCCACCTCTTAGGACACAATTCCTAGGGCTCCACCCACATCCTGAGAACGCAGTTTCACCCCGTAAACCCACCCCAACCACCTTCTGAGAATGTGATTGGAGCCCTAGGGAAGATCAACAATGGATCGCAAGAGTCGGTGGCACATGGTTTCACGGCTTGCGGTGATTCTGATCGCATTCCACCAGAAGAAAACCACTTGGTCCAAGCTGGTTCGTGAAAAGCGGAGAAGGCCAAGTTCGTCAATGCCAGCAACAGGTGGGGTTTGGATGTTCACAGGTCAATCAAAGGTAAATCATGGGACATGCCAGGGTATGCCAAGATCTTCCAACTACTCTATGCCAAATGTTTGCCCTTTGGCTGTTGTTGGTGGATGAATGATGAAAAGGCAAAACACATATGTGACAATTGGCAGATCCAGTGGTATAGTATGGACTCTTAGACAAAGAGCTGACCAAGCCGACGTGGAGCGGAATTGGTTCAGCCCAAAGCCCCCCCCAAAAAAAGGAGCTGACAGAGTCGGTGGAAAGGAAACAACAGATGCTAAAGAGAGAAGTGAGAGAAGTTCAGGGCTAATCTGATCTCCTGATCTCCATCCGATGTTTATTTTCCTGATTTTGCTTGATATTTATTGATGGTTATCATTTATGTTCCCCATGGGGGAGCAAGATAATCCCTTGTGTCCAGGAATGTTAGTGTCCAGGTTCCTTAAGCCAAGTTTTCGCGGCCAGAGCTTGGATAGTCAATGGATCCGCACAAGATTTTTGCGCATCAATGCAAAAGGCTCTCTCATCACAATTTGACAGTTGTCCCAGAAAGAGGCTGCCGGGCGACGTGGAAAAGCCTCAAAAAGTGAGCAAGACCCATCCGATACAACATGATGTGAGATAATGACATGAATGTATAGATAGGGGATCTATGATTTGCGTGGGTGTGATTCTCCACTGTCTCCAGGGAAGGGAACCAGAAATGGTTCGAGGATGTTCGAGGTCTAGCCGCTTGAATTGGGTAATCCAAGCGTCAGACCAGGCTCATTTGAGCACCAAAAAGCATCCCCCAGTCCACAACATTGCGCAACTACAGTGGGTTCAGAGTAGATGGCACAATCCCCCCCCAAAGGTGGTGTATATATGGACCCCCATCTCAAAACGATGGTCTAGAGGGACACCCCCGTCACCCTCCAAAGCTTCCAAGGTGCCAGGGTGGTCATGGTGTCGGGCTAGCCGGTGACCGACGGGTCGGTCGAAGCCTATCGATCGGATCATCTCCCCGGAACGAATCTTCTACAGTGCTTTCAGAGGTTCAGTGACCAGGTCACTAGGACCCGTCACCAGGAGTACCCAACTAGGATAGTCGAACTAGGGTTCTGACCCACCTCTGCTGGGTGGTTCCAGAGGTTCGATGGCACAAGTTACCCCACGTTATAGGTGGAGACATGTGGAGACATGCGGAGACCCATACTAAAAGACATCTTTGGGTTTGTGCCATCGATTCTGAAACTAGATTTTCTCTTGCTTCCTCGCCGGGTCTGGTCGCCCTCGTCGAGTCGAGTCGAGGCGCCCTAGAGAGGAACGGGGGGCACCGAAGTGGAGGAAGTGGAGGAACATGGAAGTCATGGAAGTGGAGAAAGCGGTGGAAAGGCACCAATTGGCACCATCTTCATGTAGATGCCATCCAGTTTCATGTGAGGTCTTCATTGGGTGCGGGAGTTGTGTTTCCCTGGTGAAACTCAGCCAAGTCCAAGTGAAGCTGGAAACTCAGACTGGGGCTCACTTTGGCTGATCGTTTACCGCTTCGAACGTGGCTGATCGTGTCATGGAGGTCGTCGAATGGTGATTCTGCACAATCACCAGCAGGGGGTGAATGGGGGTGAGACGTCAAATCCTAGTCACGAAATCGACATCGTCTCAAAACCTTCATTCTTCGCGATTCGTCCTCCCCCGCGGAACTTCTACTGTAATTAGTTGGGACTTGACTGAAACTCGACTGACTCCGACTCCGATCCTGGAGCCACGGTACGTGTGGAACCGGGGTCCGCACCGACCACCACCATAGCTTGTTCGCGTTGCGTTGCTCCGAATCGGTCGCGGTCGCGCCGAACCTGCTGGGCGCGGGCGATCTGCTTCTGCTGCTCTCCGATGATCAGAGCTCACCAGAGAGCAGGTGAGTCAGGCCAAGCCTGTCAGAAGTGTCGCCCCGAGTGCCGCCCCGCGTGAGAAAAAAAAGCATGCACCGAAAGAGGAGGGTGGGGGGAGTAGAGATGGTGCAAGATGGTGCAAAGACATGTCGAGGAGCACAGGAGTCCGGGATTGCAAGCGAGGGAGGGGAATTCTGAGATTCCAATCGGAGGTATGTTTTTACATGTTTTTACGCACTTTGACCTGGCACAATTGCAATACATAATAAGCGTACGCAGCATTTGTTGGTGAGGGCAGGTTGAACATAACGCTCACAAGACCACGACCACCTACAATATACAACAATATATGTTGGGTGGCGGCTCCTGACACACCACTTCCATGTACTCATGTACTCCTTGGTGCGTCAGCTTCCAGTGCCAGGTTGGTAGCAGCGCGTTGACCAAGCTTCCCAAGCTTACCACTTCCACCCTGCAGGTTCAACTTTCTACTGATTCTACGTAGTCTCTGGATGCCAGGTCCTTGATATGATTACCAAGAAGTTTCCAAAAGTTTTCCAAGCTACTTACCATCACTGATGTCTATAGTGCTTTGCAGTGTAGACTCTGGTGCAGCTATGTGCTGCCCGTTGTACCTTCCTGGCTCTTCAAAGTGACCGAACTTGATCCTCTGGTTCGAGGTCACGTAATAGGCCGGTTCTCCGAAAAAAGAACTTCAGAACCTCGGTTCCGTGTCAGGGACAACGAGGACACTACCCCAGTAAGCACTCACCACCTTCCACTCACCACCCGGTCGAACACAAGGACTTGGCACCCACGTTCGTATCACCTGCCTCTTGTGCTTTTTGGGCCCAAACCCGGCGACATCGCCGAGTCTGGAGGTGAACCAACGGGTCGAAGCGACGCATTCCACCGCGCTTTCACCGCCCGCCGGGCCCCGGCAGCCCGGTGGAGCGCCCCGCGCGGTGTGTTGAGCGGCCGGGGATCCGGGATCCGGGAGCATGGCGCTGAAGATTTCGACCTCAGCGCTTCCCGAGCTGCCAGGCAGGGCGAAGCAGGGCGATGCAGGGCGATGCACGAAGGGATGTGAAGATGGAGCTGGGAGATGCTGGTGGCTTACAGAGGCAGAAGACTCGACCCTTTCCCTTCACCCCTGACATAAAACTACCAGCAGTCACATGTCGGGGTGGTGTTTAGTCCCCAAGTGAGTGGATAACGGGAACCCCTAACCTCCAATAGGCACCCCTTTGTGACTCCTGGTGCCTGTTTTTAGAGGAAAAGGGTTGTCCATTGGGTTAGTGCATGTGAGTGCCACTTCCATCTGCAGGTTCCCAACGTCAAATCTGCAGATTGGAGGGAAATCTGGAGGTTGGACAAGTCCTGAACATGCGACATGATAGGGAGTTAATATCATATATGCCAAGAGAGGTAGCCAGTGACCTGAACTAGGACCCGGAAAACCTGGGGTACCTATGTGATAGCCTGTAGGGTTCTTCAACCTCTGTTGGTGTATGATTATGTCGTACAGTGGTCACAGACCCCAAGATGTGCCATCTACTCTCAACAATTACTTGTTTGTAAACAAGAACAAGGCCCCGTGAAGCTGAGTCTTCAGTAGCTGAAAAAGCTTGAAAGATCTGAATGTGAATGTCAAGAATCTTCAATCCTCACCGTCCCCCTCTTCACCCTTCAGGATCCTTCTATTGCAGGGTACATGAAGATCGAAGTGAGAACGTGTGCACCTCCCAGTGCCAGGCCAAACAGAGCGCCCCTCATCGGCAGGCGCCGACCAACTTCGAGGTTTTCGTCGCGCTTTCGTCCCCACGGTCGTCCTGTGCGGGGCTTGCCAAACAGGGGTCGCTCGCCGAGCTGCGCCAGCTTGATCCACCGTTTGGGGTGTTTTTTTTGTTAAATGGAGAGTACGCCTCAGATGTCTTTTCGTACAATGACACCCCAAAAATAGAGACGTCCATCACACCAATCACCAATCCATCAAAAACTCCCTTGGAAACATGTACTGGAAAACAGTTTATGATCGTATATTCTACTTGCAGTTCTACTTTCGGGGGGTGTTCTACTTGAGGCCGGTCGGATCGGGCGGTGTTTCGGAAGGTGGTGACTGGTGACAGTCAACCGACTGGTGCGACGCGTGCATGGAGGGTGGCTGGATCATGCCGGATCCTAAGGTATCTATAGTGGAGGGATCATTCCCTTATCCCCTACTAGGCACGAGTCAGTCAATGTTATGTAGACTCCTTTGATTCATAAAGCCAAACTCCCCACATGAAGAGTTGGCCCGGCTCCCATTCAGCGTTTGGGAGCAAGAGTTGGCCCGGGCCAGTCACTGACTAAAGCTTGGCTTAAGAGGTTCTTTTCAAGGTGGGGGTTGTCCTGGTCCTCTCCCAAAAGAGGAGGTCTTGGCCGTATCACAAAAGCGGCCCACAGGCTTTGCTTCTAAACATGGTCAGAAGTTCCAAGCTGGAGGATGTAGAAGCAACAACTGGGTGTGCATTCAAATACTGTAGGATGATGCCCCAAAGAACTGGAAGAGAAAGCAGATACTATAGCCCAATTGGTTGACGAGCACCCCACCCAGGTTCACATTGTGTGATTCATGTTTGAGTGTGGACACCTTTGCATCGGGACTTGGACCATTTGGAGGGTCTGGGTTGATTGGGGGTGTTCCAGTCTGATGCCGTGAATGCCGTGAACGGTCCTTTTTGGGCGAGTTAAGGTCAGAAGCTTAGAGACACAGGAGTGGACACATCGACGCTCGGGAAAGCGTTCCTGCAGGTTTTCCTTTGGGCCCAGTCCAAATTGAAACCCGGTCTGACTAGATTGACCCGGTTCGTTCGGGTTTATCCCGGCGGTGGCCCTGAAGACCCGGTCTGGTCTGGATCTCAGTCTACTGGAGTCGGTATGAGGTGAAAGGACCAGGTGAAATCAGTACCAACCAGCAGTCACGTTCGGTAAGGGGTGCGGACTCCATGGAGGTAGTCGGGGTGCCCAGCTACTCCACTCACTGGATGGGACTAAACACCACCCCGAGCTCTGTGACTGCTGGAACAGAGGTTTTTCAGCAGGCAGAACCCGAAGGATTTCGACGCCAGTCTACCCCAGACGGTTTCCGTGTGCTTCTACAAGAGGTCACTGGCTACCTCTTGTGCTATGTCTACCCCTGGGACCTGCAGGGTCTCGTCGACCTTCGACTTCGACACCCAAACCCCTCGCCCTCGGTCCTCTGGTCGATGGGGCGCTCCAGGCATGGCTGCCCCATTGCGGCACGGGGAGCTCAGAACTGGGGGGACCATCGGACCATGTCCGGCCTCCAGGACTCCAAGACCGGGACTCCAAAGTGGGACAGACCATGACAGACCTGTAGGTGCCAAAAACCATCAAAAACCCGTAGTAAAAGAGTGGTTGTCAGGTCAAGCCTATATGAAACGAATGGTGGTTGGAATGCTGGGGTCCTGGTGTTCCGGGTCAAGGGATGGCCTACCCAGGAAGTCTGTGGATCACTGGCCTCACCGTTTTGGGGGCGACGCCCTGCTCAAAAACCATCTCTAACTGGGCAAAATGAAACACCAACAGAGGTGGGTCAGGACCCGACTGTTCGCCTATCCCAGTCTGGCACCCCAGGTTACAGGTCCTAGTTCAGGTCACTGGCTACCTCTCTTGGCAGCTTCGGCTTCGCCCTAAAACATGTTCTGGAGATCTCCAGCACGAAAAGCCCGGCGGCGATGGACACTTGGTTTCTTTTCTTCCGCCCGATGAAGAGATGATTTGGTGAGGTGATGGGCGCCAGCCCGAGAGACATGAGGTGTTTCCATTCTCCTTTGAGATCCGTCGAGGTAAGGGTCGGTTCGACTCGGTATTGGCCCACTTGGAAGAACAGGTGAGAGAGAGTGTTTGGTATCCTGTGGTATCCTGTGGGGATGGAGTCCCATCTGGGCCCCGTCACCCGCTTACGGCTTTGCGGCGAGTTGTCGATGGCCCCGTGACCCCCGGGCCGAGTGAGTCGATGGCCACGTGTACCGAATCCTTTGGACGAGGGGTCGGTTGTACACGCCCAGAGAAGAACAACCTTATGGGGATGGGCAGGTGCTCGTGATCCAAAAGGCACCACATCGCTGCTTGGGTTTGGGGTTTTGCAACAGGCCCAGGCCAGGGCTTGAACCACGAGGTCACAATCAGAGGACAAGAATCCAAAGGAGACCCTAGAAGTCTCAAATTTGGGAGCACCCAAAGTAAAAAGAACTTGCTCAGACCGGGTCACCCAAAGACCTTTTTTCTCGAGAGCTTCTAAGTCCAAGGTTCAAGTTGCTTTCCAGCTTAGCCCAGTCCAACGGGACACACGAAGAGGGGCGCGAACCGGCGCGAACCGGCGAACGGACGATGACTTCGCCACGAACGCCACCAACTCGTTGGCGTCATCACTCGCTGACCCTCATGGATGCATTTGGATGCCTCAGTGGATGCCTTATATACGGTTCCAGATTCCCTATATATGGTTCAGGTAGGGGCCAGGGAGTCCGCCTTGTGAGAAGGTATGTGGATGCCTAGATTGTATAGAGAGTCAATCCCTTGCCCTGTGGGGTCCAGCACTCTGGATCAGCAAGACTTGACCAGCCACAGAAATTCCTTCAAAAAGGCCATGGTCCCGTTTTTCACCTCCAAACGTGGCGTATGTATCCTAGCTGGGTGTGGGGTCCCGACCTGACCAGCCCATCCCAGAGCTTTCACTTAGTCTCACTCCGGGTGGTCCCTTTTCTTCATGCTGGAGTTCTGATGTCCAAAGGGCCTGTCGTTTTCATCTGTCCCTTTGTGAACCTCGCCGCGCCCCACTGGCTGGCTCAGTTTTGGCCGGTCTTCGGTGCATTTTGGCGCGCTCCACAGCCTCAATTAGTTGGGGGATTCTCTCCTGAAAGGATGTGAAATATGGGAACCAATTGACCTCACAGTCCATTTCCCAGACCTGTTGGGAGGTTTTGATCCAGCCACCATTCATGTACTAGATTTGGCCGAACAACCCTTGTTTGCAGGTCAACCATTCTTTTAATGGCCCTTGAACGCTAAGGTGTATTTGTTCAACATTTCTACCTCACTTCTTTTCCCTGCATGGAGATGCAGAAGGACGACCAAGTTGGAGACGATCTAACAAACCATCAAGCAGCTTGTAGCTTCTACCAGCTTCAGTTGAACTTCTGGAGAGCCCCATTCCCAGGCAACTGTCACCACATCCACCCCATTCACCCCATCCGCCACGGACAGACGCGGATTGGCCGCGCGGATTGGCCCTCGCAGCTGCTGAAAGCGCCGAGCTCGCCGAGCGGAGGGCCTTCCTGGAGGAGCTGGGCCTGATTTGCCTATTCAGCTGGGTTTGGCTGAGTGAACTACCTGGAGTCACCGAAGTGGAGCTGAAAACCCCCTTTTTGTAAAGGAGCAGCTTCCCTAATGATGATGTATAATTTATATACTGTATATAATCTATATGCCGTAATTCGCGAGAAAAATCGCAAGCTGTAGCAGGTTATGCTGATGCCTGGGATCCAATTTTTGAACCATGTCTCTAGTGGACATGTTTTGTAGGTGTCTCATCAATTGGAATAGACTAAACGATGTGAGAACTTGTGAGAACTTGTTGGCATCATTTGTCTTTGCTCTGATATTTTTCAATTTCCGTAACAAGTAACAATTAAGTGACTGTTTTGAGTTTAAATTTAAGCTACATCATGAAAACCAAGGACATCAGACTACTCTGCGCGCTACGAGAAAAGGAAAGACGTTCCAGCACACACGCGTGTCGCGGGGGGAACGCCCGAAGACTTCGAAAAGCCCCAAGACTATCCAAGACTTGGATCCGAAAAACCGAAGACCAGGACCTTCTCAGTGACCTCTTCAGGATTGGTAAGTGACCTTTTCAAGGCCTAAGTGACGTCATTCTGGGATCTCAAAAGGTCACTGGGAAGCTCCTGGGATCCAAATCTTCACCCTGGGAGGACTAAATCAATATGTGTTGGGGGGTGTCCCAGTACATCCTGCAACAGGGGGTCAACAAGAACATCACTATTTGTGAACAAGGCCTGCAACTGAACCATCATCATCCGCTGGGCCCTGGGTCCATGGGATATGCCTCAAATCTGTGAGGCCTCCTATATAGGCAACGATCTCTGCTTGCAGAAGGGAAGTAGACCACCAACCGTTGGGCCAGGGGGCCCCTTTTGTGGCGTACACAACCACAATGTGGGTTTGAGATGACTTGGAGTAAGCAATTTTGTCATGTTGGTCTCGAAAGCTTCTATAGCATTCTTTAGAATTAGCATTCTTTAGTCCCCTTAAGGGTTGTCGCACGTTGCCGGAGGCGACCAGTGTAAGAAGTCCCTGCATGGCGCAGCCATGCGCAGCCTGCTCGAGGACGATGCTTGCGAAGATGACGCCACAGGCAGAGCTTGCCTCGTCGGGAGGTTTAGACGATCCAGTTCAGTGACCCAACAGTTCAGTGGATGACCTGCGGTTTACGCATGTTTACGCCAATTGTACTCGGGACCATTTTATATCGTGTTTCAGGTTTGCCTGGGGGAGGGGCTTCTTGCTGTTCATGCTTCCACAAGATGGTCGTGTCATTTCTTCGCAAACTGTTGGTTGAACCCTGGGGCAAACCCAAAGACGTTCAAATCAAGAAGATATTTGCGCGCAATGCTGGAGAGAATCTGGAACCATCTGGAACTTAAGACGCCCTAACTAGAGGAAATCGCTCACAAATAACAGAGTTGTGGTTGCAAAAGTGGTCCCTTTGGACCTGTGATGCATCTCTTTTTGATCCTTTTTTGCACGACTGTTTCTTGCCCAGGTGCATCAGCAAGAGATTGACAGGCGGGATAGGGCGGGACAGGAAGATTCAACTTGGGGCAGCATCCCCACCGGCTTCCCTCCCAATGAAACGGAGTCGTTCGGAGCCGTTTGGAGCGCGCCCCCAGGGGAGGGAGGGAAGGGAGCTGGAGGGAGTTCCTCCCAAGCCCCTGCGAGAATCAAGGAGGCTTCACAGGGTGTTTTTTTGTTCGATTCGGCGTGCTTCGACCGAGCAGCCCACCCGAGGAGGAAGCCTTAGTATCAGCTTTCAGGACCCTCTGGTCCCTTGTGGTCAGCAAATTTCTGAACCCAGCACCCCTTGTTTCCCCTGGTGATTCCAACAGAGGTTGAAGAACCCTAGTTCAACTATCCCATAGGTACCCTGGTAGGGTCCTGTAAGGTCACTTAACCCTGTTGGTTTTGGGGTTGATTGGACCACCATGTTGTCGCGTTTACAGCCCATCCAGCTTTCAGAGGGCGAAGAAAGAGCGGGAAGCGACGCGGTCCGCGAGCGTGTTGGCGCCAGCGCGCCCTTCCCCACTTGATCAGCTGATCTCAGCTTGCTCATGCTGCTCATGCTTGCTCCTTGTTCTGAGCTTGTTCATGCTTCAGCAACGACCTCAGCTGAAACTGTTTCCACTGCGGGACCTGGATCAACTCCAGGTGGCGGGAAGAGCCCAAAATCGTCAACATGCGGCTCTCGAACTTGGCCAAGACGACCCAGTGGAGGCAGTCCTTGGAGGCCGAGACTTAGCGGGTGGACCAGGTGAGAGGTCGCGTTAGCCGGCGTAGCCGTTATGGACCCGGAGCACCTGGGGTATCAGACTGGGATATATAGTCGATATACGGGTTAGGGCTAGGGTCCTTCAACCATTGTTGGGATGTTTTTGAGATGTTTTGGTGCAAGGTGACATGGTTTTGGCATGTTTTGGTGAAGTATTGCTACTGCAACCTTTACTTGGGATGATTGAACCGTATCCCCTAGCATGCCCTAGCCCTTTATGACCGTTCGTTTGACCTGGTCCTGTAGACCTGCCGCACACAAATGGGTTTTGGATGTTTTCGGTATAGTAATAGCCATTAAATCAATGGCGGTTGGATGGCAGGTGTTCCAAACATTGGTCAAACCCGTCTCAGGGGGCTTTCACAATGGGGACTGCCACCTGCTCCTGGAGAAATGCAACCTATTTTTGAAGGTTTGTGCATTGTGCCAGTGTGTTTTTTTGGCGAACGCTTTGTCGAAGACCTGTGTGTCCATTGCCAGGTCTTGCGCGTGATGCAACAGCATGCAGTGCAGATGAACATCTTTCATCTCAGCAACGCTCCGCGGCTGCTTTCCAAGGGTGTTTAAAACCTCCCCCTTGAAGATTCACAGAAGAACGCTCCACATGGCAATTCGGTGCTTACAGGAAACATGTCTTGCGGGAAACATGTTGCAATCTACATTCTTCACATCTTCCAGCCATCAACTGAGCCGGCTACAACTATTCACAGCTAGCGCACGGTCGTCCGTTTGCCGTGTGCACGGCAAGCCCGTGCGCATCAGGTGATCAACGCCTGTGCCAAGGGCGGCCAATGGCATTCCGCCAGCAGGCTTTTGGAGGAGATGCTTCGCCGGAAGGCATCTGGGTCGGCTGGGGCTGGGAGAGAAGGGCATCACCCCTGAGACGTGCTGAGATGTGTTGAGATCGGTGAATCATGGTCACTAGACGCGTGGACGGGGAGCAGGCTTCCTACGCGTCTCAGACGTCCCGGAAAGAACACCATGGCAACTGTGCATCGTCCGCGCGAGCCTCCGCGATCGGACAGGCACCCCGGTAGGCCAAAAGTTCATACCACTTGCAGCACCCAAAACTATCTCAACCACCTGGAAGGGGCGGTGAAGGGATACCCCCTTAGCCTCGCTAAGCTTTCTCGTGTTCTTTTGCCTTCAGTTCTGCCCTTCCAATGGGCTAGAATTCTTAGGGTCGGTAGGAGGCCCTGGTGTTGATTTCAAACTTTGGAACCTCCACACCTGTTTTCTGAGCTGAGGGGTCTTCAAACCGAACCGGCCGGTGCTTTCAAGGGCTCGGGATTGGAAGACCCCCCTTGCTCGCGGCCTGCCCGAGCGTTTGGAGCTTCAGACCCGCCGAAGCCTGGCTTTTTGGCCGAAGAACTGTTTGGTGCGACGAGTGCCATGAAATAAGGGTGGCTGGATCCTGAGGTGACAGGGGCGGGTTCATTCCCTCACTAAGGACGAGTCTTTATCAGGGTGATATTTGGACTTTGCATGTGTTTGCCCCGTTTCCTGGGCTTCAGCCCCCCTTCTCCCTGGATAAAGGACCTCGTGTTCGGGCCCTTTTATTTCCACACCTTCCAGAAAAGGTAGCTTGAGCTACCTGAGTTCTCCTTGCTTTAGCAAAAATGTATTACAATCAGGAGTTGGGATTGTGCATTGAATTTGGTCCTGTAAGAGTTGATTCTGTTCGTTGGGGGGGGGGCCCCCCTCCCTGGATCAAATCCCCCCTGCGCCGGTTCACGCCGTCATGGACTTCTACCAGGGTTACTTGTGATTGCCTGCTACCTTTCGTTCACCCCCTCCTCTCAAGTTTCCACACCTTCCAGAACCGGTCCATTCGGCGAACCTCGCACAGACCACGCCATGGACACGCCGGTCGTGGTGCCCCGCCCTGCGGTCGTGGAGAGAGGTCCAGCCGGACACCATTTGCTACAACGCTGCCATCACCGCCTGCAGAGGCGGTATACCGCGGCGGGACTCCGCGGACCGTGCGCCGCGCCGCGGCGGGACTCGAGGTGGCAGGGAAGATGGGAGGAAGCGCGCCCCAATAACCAGGGCCCTTGGTTTCGGGGTGTCCAATAACAGCTCCGTAGAGGTAATGGGTGTCTATTAGCCACCCCTTAGGGGCCTGGAATGGGTCAAATCAGAGAAGAACATGGATGAAACTGCACCGAGGGGTTCCCATGGGGGATGCTGCCTGAAAGGGTGAATGCGACCGCATACGCCAGTTTATGCCAGTTTGCCTTTGTATGTAACTTCTCATTGTAAGGTCATGCGCATGTATACATGAGCGCTCACTGGATGGTTAGATATTCAAGGGTGCTCTTGGTAGTCATCACGGCCGCCAGCAGTCAGCATTTCTGCCAGGTGGCGGGGCATGGATTCCTTTTGAGTGGCATGGTTTGATGCTTGAAGACTCGTGGTCTAGGTCAGCTAGCCAGACTCGTGACGGTCAGCTGTAACAGAATGAGCCGTGGAAGAGTCCTTGAAGAGATGGGTTACTTCCACAATCTTCCACATCAGGCGCTGGGCACTGGATCGCAGCATGCTACTTGCTCTTTAGCATGAGCAGCCAGACGCTTCGATTTGCTTAGGGGAAGGTGCTGTGTGGGCCCATGTGAGCCCTAAGTAGCTGGCACCTGGTTGTAGGGTGATCAGCGTGTGGGTTCGAAGATGTTGGAAGATTGGGGCAGACAACTCGCCAAACACTTTCCTCGGAAATGTCATGACCATTAAGCTCAACTGCCCTCATCTACCCATGTTTCCAGCTAATATCAATATCAGCTGGTTTTTCAGGATATGTGATATGTGAGTAGGATGAAACATGTTGCCTATGATCCGACATGCTCAACCTGTACTATATCTTGAGATGGTTGAACCCACTGACTCCTATGTTCGTTCTCTTTTGTTGGAAACGTTGAGAAGCACTTAACCTGTTCTGTGTCCTTCGAAAATCTCCACGATTCTCCACGTCTTCGACCAAGCGGAGTGAATCCGAGCGGAACGTCTAAGGAGCGCACGACCGAATCTGAACAGCTGCTCGGAGGAACCGCAAGAAAGGTTGAGCCGGAGACCCGTGTTGCTTGGGGCCGTTGTTTTGTTTGTATTCTCGGATTCTTACCAAAAGGTTTGGATATGTTCTGACATACGACTTGATCTAAGATGTTTAAGTTTAAAGATGTTTATATAAAGTAATCTGTATACAATTGCGCACATGTTCAGACACATATACGCCAAATGTAGTAGTGTAACACAATAGTACAAGATATAGTTATATATATATATACATACAGATTCGACTTTGGTACGGCAACCATTTAGCCAGACCCCAGTGCGACACACACACACACAAACCCTTGCAGTTTTCGGTGAACCCTTCTAGCTGACCATCCCAACATTACACTCCTGGATATCAAGATGGCTATGTGGATGGCATGCCCCCGAGCCCGCGCGGACGAAGCATGAATTCAGACCGCCAAGCAGAACGTGCTTTTCCATGTCCATGACTGACTGGTGCGACTCGCAGGGAATGAGGGAATGGATCCCATTCCCTTATTCCCTACTAAGCACCAGTCAGATGATCATGGCAACCTTTCTCCACATCTCACCACCCAACTCCGCCTCTCCCGCCGACCTCTCCACCTTCTCGGCGAAAGAAGAGGCTCTCGTAGAATTCGCCGCGGCCCAGGCTTCAACGCGGCCATCAGCGTGTGCGGCGGAGCGCAGCGCTGGGACTGGGCGCTCCAGTTGCTGGACCTCATGGGCCATGCCAGGCCGTGCTCGGCGGGAACAGGAGGGTCAACAGGGGGCGCCTAGCAAGGAAAAGTGGAGAACCTGTCTTCTTTTGGGGGGGGAGATTGGTTTCCCCACCAAGCACGAACAGATGTAAAAGATTGTAAAAGAATGGAAGACGGGTGACCTTTATTGGCTCTTGAGTCAGGGCAAGTGTGAGCGGCTGGGAGGAGTGATGAGCAGTGTGCGTGCTGGAGCACTGGTGGGTGGGTTGCATGCAGGTGGGGATCAGGTGGGTTGCTTTGGACTGTTGGTGATTTCAGCGGGGGATGTAGTGTGGTGTGCTGGAAGGTGATGGCGAAAAACGATCTCCGTGCCTCATGTACATGGCTTTCATTCGTTTGTTGCTGGTCACATTTCGGAATATGGCCTTTATAGAAGCCCTCATCCTCCAGGCACTTTGGTTTTGATAAGGGTGATGTTACATCATGGAAGTCCCAGAAACAACCCCAAGGAGTGTTTTTTCCCCGATCCGTGGCATAGCAAGTGGTTGGAACTGAGTTCCATCAATGTTCCATCCATTTCCATCCAATTTCTGGTTGGGGACGGTCTTTTTCTAGGATTCGACGACTGAAACTGAAGGCTTTTGCTCCTGAAAACCGGCGACCGCGGACACCATGACGGTCAAAAGAGACTTCATTCTGGTCGGCTGTGGGCTTGGGGGGCTCTAGTAAACAGGAGGTTCAAGCTTCGAAATCATCACCGGTAGCTCGTTGGCGCTGTGCGTCTACTATCGTCCAACCTAATTGAAGGATTTATCTTCTCGTCTTCTATAGCATTTCTATAGCCTTGAGGAAAAACAGAGGAGTACCTACTACCACCTCTGCTTTGCCGTTCTGTGAACATATCTGAAGGGAAGAAATCGGGAAAAAACAAGCAGCTGGCCACCGCCTGGCCGACTTGGTAAGCTATATGTCATGGGCTCTGCCAGCCTGTTGCTCACACACGTGCCAGAGGTGGACGAATCCTAGTTCGACTACCTCATGGGATCCCAGAGGCGCCCCAGGTGACGGATCCTATTTAAGGTCACCAAATAGAAATTCTGTAACATGCCATGACAATAAGATTCACAACTTTAAATTAATAGAGCATTATGAGCATTAGAATAAAGTGGTGAATCCCTTACAAATAAATAAGAGACAAGGGTCTCCTGTTTTTCCCCCCAAAAGGTGGCCTCCCAAGCCCAGCTCAGCAGATTGGCAGGATTCAGCGCGACGCGATCAGCTCCTTTTAGTCCGAGCGGGGCGGAGATGGGGAGACGGGGTGGATGACGGAAACCCCCATGCACCGTCCACGAGCGCACAGAGCTACTCCAGGTGCTATGTGGAAGAATGTGGACCCTTTGTTATTTTTCTGGTGGGATGTAGTTGTGGGTGAAACCGCATTCGGAGGAGTTGCTCCCGGTTCAGAACCGGCAAACCCAAGTCATGAAATGATGTTTCTTGATTCAGACCGACGATGACCGCAAAAGCACTTGACCAGAAACACACACACCGGCATTCGACCACAAATTTTGTTGGACATGGAAGAACATCCACATACCTGAAGGCTTTGGCTTGCGCTGCGTCTGGCATTTCGGAAAGAGCACTCCAGCCAGCAGAGTCCTGAGGCGTTAACAGTTGCATCACTGCTTGTGACAAGGCCTGGGGCCGTTGCTGCGGAGGACATTGGAATTTGGGACCATGCAACACAACCTATGGCAGTGGCTGACAATGGGTAACCCACGCCGCACATTCCCACAGGAGGCTTTTGAAAAAGGTTCATCCAATAAGTGCAACAACTTCCACTGCCATCAGGGTTTTTTCCTGTTTTCTATATTGCGGACTAGGTGATGGTTATTTCCTGAGTGACATGGAGAAGATCTTGTATTTACGCAGCTTCCGGGTTTCAGCACCTTCCGTTTGACCACGGTCCCGGAAAAAATTCTGAGCAGGGAAGGCGTTCAACCCGCCTGAGATCCAACCTCGCGCGAGACAGTGAGACGGTGAGACGCGGTGAGACGGTGAGACGCGGTGCTTCTCAGCGGTTGCGGTGAAGCAACCGCTGCGTGGAGAGGTCCTCCAGATGACTCAGAAAGGGCTCCAGGATGACCTGGGAGAAATCCGAAATCGTTCAGCGGACCGAAGGGAGTTCTCAAACCAAGAGTCCGACATGAATGACAAAGAAGCGGATATTGTTGATACCCATTGCATATTAGAGTTGAAATCAACTGGTCTAAATCCTTCAGGTTGGTTGATGCCCGCAACTTCACTCTCAAGATCTTTTTCTTTGCATAGTGTTTCATGCGACTTCAGCTCGCCTTTGCGTTGGGGTGGTTGACTCACTGGATTCAGCAGAGACCACCTTCAGTCGGAGTGGACCTGGATACGTTGAGGGCTGAGGTTCGGGAGGCCAGACTGGTGGTTGCAGATCTCGTTGATTTGCGGACTGGGTGTTCAACTGAGCTTTGGTGGCAGCGCTGGGTGATCCGGGCAAACGTGGTTGTAGATCTTTTCCTGATAGGGTTGATCATCCGCAACTGGCTGTTCCGAGTCACTACTCAAGTGCCTGTTATCCGAGCCGACACCCGTGGTTCTTCATCTTCGGAGGACGAGCCAGGGGCGCTGCAGTCAGGACCTCCTTTAGGTGGACTGGTTTTGGCGAAAGTGAAAGTCAGACCCACACGACCATCAGATCTGAGAAAGTGAGATGGGGGATCAGACTTTAGACATTGCTGAGACTCAGATTTTAGTGCATTATGGGGGGGATGCCAACGGAAGAGGTTCAAGGAATGGGTGTCTAAGCACTGTTCCGCTGACGACATGCTGTCCTGCACCAAGCTCCGTGCAAAACCTGTTGTGGAGGTGACCAGCTGTGAGCCTCACATAGTTGCCAAGGCATTCACCACTCTAGAACAGATGTGTGTCCGCAATGGCATTGTCGCTGATGGTGTGCTGCAAGCTAGCGAGTCTTCAAGGCTAGCTGTAGTGGACGAGAAAGGCTTCAGCGCCAGGTCTGGCAGTCTTTGCGGGTTTCTGTTTGAAACAGAATGTGAAGGCTGTAGGTGTTTACATTAATTTTTTGGTACGCTTAGATGCACCTGCGCCCTGTCCAGGTCTGACCAGCACTGCCGTGGAGTTGTCACTCGAGCGATGCGAGGGAAATGCTCTACAACGATGGCGTCCTGCAGCTTTGACCATATCACAGTTTGCTCTTTCCTTCCTTTGAGTGGTGATCTCTTACCTGTGGGTTGCATTGTATCCTGCAAACAGCTGAACCGTCAGTTCAAAGATATGATGCCGTGTGCAGAGTTCTATGCCCATGAGTCCGGGGCACAAACGCCAAACACATTCGCTCACATGCTTGAAGTTTGCTACATCAAGCCCATGAGAGAAAAATGGCCAGACCATGCTTCGCGCTTGATCCTCTGCATGGATACAGGGGGAGGTTCGCTGTTGCATCTCAACCCACTTGTGGCTATCCTGTGTGAAAGGCATGCAGTTGATGTCTTCGTCATACCAAGTTATTGTACCAAGGCCATGTGTGCCTTGGACATGACACCCCACTCAACCATGAGTTTGATGTGGTCGAAATTCAAGGCAGAATATGCGAGGCAGACCGGATCCGATCTGTCCATCTTCGTTGCGTTGAGAGCGTTGCAGCATATAGTCACTGCTGGACTCTCCAAGCAGAATGCCCTAGCAGGCTGGGCTCATGTTGGCTTTGTTGTTGGGCAAGCAATCAACCGCAACAAAGTGCTGGTGGATCGTTTCAACGAATGCTTTCAAAGCAAAAGGGCTGGAGGAGGACTCGAGGACAGTCCTGAGTCAAAGACATCCGGGGTTCTGGATTTGGTTGCGAGAGTTTCTCCTGGATGTAAAGCTTTGTTCTCAGTGGCTTACAAGCATTGCCCAGACTGCGGTGCAGAGAACCCTAAGTTCGAAGCTGAAGCCTTGACTTGGTTCGGACCCGGCAAGAAGCCTGGCTGGGTCAAAAGTTCCCTGGCTGCAAAAAAACTAGGACTCTTTGTTAGTGGACTCTTTGTTAGTGGCGCCTTCAAAAACACCAGAACGGTCTGAAAGATTTTGTTTGCTCATGATTTCTATTTGAGAGCGGCAGAGGCATGGTACCCGCTATCGAACCTCAGACTTTGCAGGAGAAAGAAGTGGCAGGGGCTGCCGGCGACTGGCTTCAGAGTGTTCGCAAAAAAGCTTCAACGTCAACTGGCACTGACAGCACAACTGCTGCGCCTTCTACTCCTGCACCACCCTCAGCTCCAGCTCCCAAGCCTGCCCCATCCACGCCCGCACCAAGCACACCGGCTCCAGGAGTTTTGGCACAAGAACCTGGGCCTCAACAGAGTGAATGGGACCTGGAAAGCCCAGAACAATGCTGCAGTTGGATCGTCAAATGCTTTTCGGCCAAGCGGAAAGAGGAAATAGAACCTTTAGCCCGCTTTTACATCTCTCAGCTGCGTGCCGAAAAGGGCCCCTTGTCAGACAATTTTTACAAACATGTCATCGGGCCCCGATTGCTGGCCAGTTCGAAAGGACGAGATTCTTGGGTGCAAAGCACCAAATACAATCGGTCCAAGAGATTTGTCGCAGCTCCAGAAGAAGTGTACAAGAAGTGAGCAAGGAAAAAGAGTGCGGTGTGAGCACTCCATCAGCAATCTTTGCGTTGACATGGGGAACTGTGGCTTCAACCCCTTTGTTTGCAAACCTTTCTACCACTGAAACGCAAACTAAATGCAGCATCACCCTTCAACATTGCCAGAAATCTGGCCTAGAAGACTCTGAAGGTTTTGTTGCGTTCACAATGGGCGAAACATCAAAGGGATGACTAAGGGATGACTTCCTAGAAACTGCGTTCCCATGGGGGAATACACAAAAGGGACGCAGAGGGATGACATTGTCCACTCCCTGTAGACAGGAAGTCCAACTTCCCGCCGACATTATAGGTGAGATTTATGCCTTTGACCCCATTGGCAAATCACAGCTCCTTGCTTACAAACGAAGGGCTAAGGTGCAAGCCAGCATCCTGGGCGAGGCCGAAGTCGGAGAGTCGGAGGCCTATGAGTGGCTTGTGAGCGAGCCTGGACATCAGCTCTTTGGACAAATCATCGATTCAACATTGATGGACAATGGAGCAACAGGCGTATGTTTCAATAGCAAAGGGGTTGCAATCATTGATGGAGATGAGGTGTTTTGTGAGAAGGTTGCCATGAAGGACATGGATGATTGGAAGAAGACTCGTGGGCTGGAGGTGGCAGATGTTCGTCTCCTTGGGGATTTCAAGGATTCGACAGGAAAACGTAACCTCGAGCTGACTAAGGCCATTGGATTGATGAAGGACGAGGTTGTGGAAGATTTCCCTATAGCAGGGACTCGTGCTGCCAAGGAATATCATGACAGCATTGCTATGGGGCCCGGAAACTTTCTCAGCTATCATTCGGAATGGCTTCGCCTCAGTGGAGTGGCGAAACGATCTTCGGCGGCTCACATCCACCGGACGTTGATGGAGGCACTCCGCCTCTTGCACCAGGTTGATCAAATACAACTGCCATTGGAGAACACCTCTCGAGATGGGCCATTCAAACTGAGGTCGCAGTGGAGAGGAACCCTAGTGCTCCCAACTATGAGGGCCTCGACATGGTCAGTGGCACCTCAATCCAAGGAGATGGAAGAGCAACTGCACCAAAGTTCACAGAGTGGCTCACCGGACGTCTCAAAGAACGAGCTCAGATCTGGAAGCAAGAGAGACTCTATGCGCAGGAGAAGAGACAGCAGAAAGGCAAGGGGAAGAGTGGAAGAGATGATGACGATGACTCCGATGACCCGGCAAAGAAGAGGAAGAAGAAGAAGAAGTCAAAAGGCAGAGGGGGTGGCTCGGATGGAGCCCCCCCTGAGACTTAGCTGACTTCGATCGGGCTGGAACGGGGCTGCCGGACTCTTGTTTACAGTTTACAACTTGGATCCGCCCTTTCAGAATAGGCAGCTTGTGCAGATATGATTTTTGACAATTTTAGCATCAGGTGGCCTTCGGTCCAGCGCAGGCATGGTGATCCGTTCCCTCTGCCGCGGTTAGGCAAGCCGGAGGCTGCTTCGCAGCTGGATCGGCGGGTTGACAATTAATGCAGTCAATGCTTTGAACCAACTTGCTTCAGCAGTTTTTACACAGTCGACAAGGTCTGAATCTCTCAGTTTGACATATGTACAGCAGTGGATGATGGGAGATTTGTACAGGAGGATTGCTGCCTATGGGACCATGCCAGATGGTCTTGATGGGGAGGCTTGCCTTGCGGACCTTGCAAAACACGCCAACCTGTACAATCAGGAGGCCGCAAACATTGCAGCTTATGACATCAATGAGATTAAGATTTTGTCCAGGAAGCTTGAACCTATTCCTGCCGCGGAGGTGGCATCTCCCGAGGCAGAGGCGTACATGAGGAGCTTCAGCGACTTGGTGGAACGTTCGGGGCCGGAGTTGGAGGCTTTGAGAGATGGCTGTAAGCTGGTTGAACCCCATTCGGATGAGAGGTTGAAGAGAGATCCTCTGCTCAGATGGCAGCTTTATGACCGACTTCACGAATGTGGTCTCCTTTGCTTCAGGCGACGGCAGAAGGCCAGAGTGGGAATGTTCACCGTGGTCAAGAAAGGCAATCGGCTTGGCAACACTCGGCGACTGATTGTTGACTGCCGTCAGGCAAACTCCCTACTCCGACGTCCACCCACGACGTCGTTGGCGACGCCTGCTGGTTTAACCAGCCTGGACATGTCTAAAAGTGCGCTCATGGGAGGAGGAGATGGTGAGACTCTGAACGACATCATTCCGAATGCAGAGACTGGTGACGTAGGAGACTGCTTTTATAACTTCTTCCTTGAGGAAGCATGTTCTTGGTTTTCGACAGGTGATAGACTGACAGTGCAAGAACTTCGTGACCGAGGGTTTGCAGTGGATGAGATTTTTGATGATGAATCAAAAGGTTTTGTCCCGGTCAGACCTGATGAGCAATTATATATTTGTTTCAGAGGTGTCCCCATGGGTTGGAGCTGGGCTTTATATTTTGCGCAAGAGATTGTTTCGTGGCAGTGTTTGCAAGCTTGCGAGGCGGAACCCAACAGACTGGTACGAGATCGGCATGTCCCTCCGGATTTGGGAAACGGCGAGCCGGCGGTTGGGGTCTATGTGGACAATGTACATGTTTTCAGCAGTCAGCAGAATGCAGCTTCAGCCAACTAGATTTGGGGCTTTAGGGATTCCTTTTGACATTGACAACGTTTGTGGTGTGGAGACTTTCGACACTCTTGGACTCACTTTTGAAATGGGTGAAACCGTTCGGGTCCGGGGTAAGGCAGAAAGGACATGGAGACTCTGGGGGGCTACACGGGCACTTCTTCGTAGACGTCGAATTTCCGGAGACCTCTTGAGGGTGTAGGTTTCGAACATGGGTGCGGAAGTCAATACAGAAGTACATGTTGGGGATTCATCTGGGAAGGGTTTTGGGCTCCTTACAACAAAAGCTTCACAACAGATGGTGAGACGAGAGTTGCAGTATCATGAAAAGTGGAGATTTATTGTTAGTCGGGAACCCGATGAGAGCAACCTTTTCTTGGGAGATTCAGAACCTCAGCGTACAGCAGATGATTGTTTAAAAGTTCATGGACACTCAGCAGACCAAGCTTTTAGGGTCACAGACAGTTTTTGGGAAATTTTTAGCAGACAAACTGGACAGTAGAAAAGAAACAAAAGCGGATCTTTGGAAAACCTTTGGAGCCGCAGGAACGGGTCTTGGAAGGACCTGGTATACCTCCGGTGGCGAGAGCTTGGGAACAGGAGGATCGGTGGAATTTAGTTTGCAGCGGGCCATGGAATTTCCCTGAAGAGCACATCAACATAAAAGAAGCTAGAGTCGCCCTTATGTCACTCAGACGTTTGTGCAGATCAGTTCACAACATGGACACGGGAAGCATGACACTTTGTGACAATATGACAACAGTTCTTGCATATGAGAAGGGGCGGTCAAGCAGTGGAGGTATCAATGCATTGTGTCGCAGAGCAGCCGCCTATCAGATAGCCAGTTCAATACAGTGGCGATTGAGACACATAGAAACCCGCAGGAATGTTGCAGATAAACCCTCTAGACAATGGGACAACCATGACTCCCAGGCCAGCTACAGCAAGATCTCCTCTCACCTGGGTGGCAACGGAGCCACATCCTCTTCGGAGCAGGGAGAGAAGTCCTTCAGCAGCAGGCCACTGGGTCGTCTGGATGTCCCTTTACAGTCAAAGTGTGGATTTCTGGAGCTGTTTAGTGGGCAAGGAACTTTGTCACTTATGGTTCACAAGAGCGGCATGCGCGCATATCCTTCTTTTGATATCTCTAAAGGTTCAGTTTACAACTTGTTGGATCCTGTGGTGCAGTTGTTTGTGATGAGTTTGATTAAGGGGGTGCATATCTGGTGTTTACACCTCGGCACTCCATGCACTGTCTGGTCACAAGCGCGTCACAACATCCGGAACACCTTGAAAGCACGCAAACGAGAACGCGAAGGGGTTGTACTTGCACTGTTTACAGCACAAGCCATTCGTTGTTGCATTAGCAATCGTGTTTACTTCACCCTTGAGAACCCGGCTTCAAGCAGATTATGGGGATTCGGACCTATTAAAGATCTGTTCAAATGCAAGAACATTTTCTTTGTGACGTGGGACATGTGCGCATTCAAGATGCCTCATAAAAAGAGTACCTCCTTGTTAACCAACATGGAGGACTTGGCGGAACTGGGATTGCGTTGCAACCGAGAACACAAACATGTTCATCTCAAAGGAACGGAGAGGGTTAGGATTGGGGGAATCAGCGCAACTAGAAACCGCACAGTTGGCGCTGGAGCGTACCCAGCCGACCTCTGCACAGCTTGGGCATCTATTCTCAAGCGAGTGTGCCCTAAGAGAGGCCTTGGTGGGGTAGGATGGGTTGAGCAGAATGATTTCAAACTCGCGCTCTCGGAGGCTGTCTCAAGCGGCGGTGGACAAACTAAAAAGGCTGCCACAATCGATTATAGATGGCATGACCCCGAGAAGCGGGAGCAATTCAATCTTCAAAGAGCCAGCAACTTCATCCAGAACAATCCAGTCATCTTTGGGCAGTTCACAAAAGAACAAATCGAGCAAGAGCAAAGACGCTTTGACAGTGCAGAAAAGGCGAATGAAGCCTCGCCAGGACCTCAAAGGACACAAGTTGCCTGCTGACATTCGGTTGAAGTGTCTGAAAGTGAGTCAGAAAACGCTTGATCGGTATCAATCCTCTGTCGCAGTTTTTGAGGCTTGGGCAACGCAACACAAACGCCGGCTTCGAGAAGAAACATTGGATAGACATGTTACGGCATATCTGACAGAACTGCATGAACAAAAACAACCTATATCTACGGGCACTTATTTGGTATACGGGTTGCAGCTTTTGAGGTGCAAACAAAACAAACAAGATTTTCTGGTTGGTGCAAAAGAGGCACTGGCCGGTTGGCGAAAAGGAGAGCCAGGTCGTATGAAACTTCCGGTTCCAGAAGAGTTCATCTATGACCTGGCTTCTGAAGCAATAGACCAGGGTCGTACAGACATTGCAGTGGTTATGGCATTGCAACTGGATGGGTACATGAGGCCTTCGGAGGTTCTGAATTTGACCTCTCACCACATAACTCCCCCAGCTGGAAGACGCTATGCCAAATGGGGCGTGATCATTGCCCCATCTGGACTGGGACAGACAACAAAAGTTGGGAAGAGTGACGACTCCATCATTCTTGGTGACTTGAAACACAATAGCTGGATTGGTGATGTGCTTCGGTTGTACACTCGTAACAGAGGCACCTTCCTTTTTGAGTCTTTGGGTCTGCAAGAATATGAACAGTGGTGTAAGCAAACATGATCGCTTCTAAAATACTCAGTTCCATGTGTGATGCCAAACATACTGCGGCATGCAGGGGCCAGCAATGACATGTTCTTCAAAAGACGCTCCCTTGGGGAGGTGCAAAAGCGAATTCGATGGGATGCTCGTGCTAGCGTCCTGCGGTACGAAAAATCAGCACTTCTCATCGGGGCATGGAAACACTGTCATGCTTCTCGCCGGCGAACCATCGAGAAACGATCTCAGGCATTTCCGAGCAAACTGCTCCAATCCCTGCGAAAATGCGGGAACTCCAGTTCAAGTATGGGAATGGGATGAGGCATCGCAGAGCTTTGAGAAGACTTGACATACGTTGATCGAGGCATCCAACCAAGAGGTGGTCCCCCGTTAAACGGGAGCTGCATGCTATGATGACGTCTTCATTGCGGCGCTGCACTTTGTGTTCGCTTTGAAAACAAGAGCGAAACGGTGTTGGGCAGCTGTGAGGCCGTCAAGGATTTGTTGGAGTTGAAACCAACTGGTCTAAATCCTTCAGGTTGGTTGATGCCCGCAACTTCACTCTCAAGATCTTTTTCTTTGCCCCCTGGCCAGCCCGTCCTATGGGATGAGGCATCGCAGAGCTTTGAGAAGACTTGACATACGTTGATCGAGGCATCCAACCAAGAGGTGGTCCCCCGTTAAACGGGAGCTGCATGCTATGACGTCTTCATTGCGGCGCTGCACTTTGTGTTCGCTGTGAAAACAAGAGCGAAACGGTGTTGGGCAGCTGTGAGGCCGTCAAGGATTTGTATATATATATATATATGAATTGATTTGTTTTATTAAATGTGCTAGGTTCGGAACAATCTTGAGTTATAGATCATGTTGTTGCTTATCGCTGTATCCGCTTGGTATATAGAACCAACCTAACGACTCCACGCTAAAATGCGCCAAAAAAACACCACCACCACCGCCACCACCACTGGTCTGATCTCGTCCCTTCTTGCGTCCGCCTCAGGCGCATGAATGGCAAATGGCCATCGCACTCCTCGCTGAAGGTAGTGACCTCATAGGACCTTTGGATCGCACAGCGTGAGGTCCGCGGGATCCGCGGAGGGTTGGAGGCAAAGGGTTGGATACCTAGTAGGCCTCAAGCAAACAATTTTGAAGCTTGCAGGGCCGGGCCACAGCTCAACATCATCAAGCTACTCAGGAAGTCGGTGGATAACCTTAACCTTAGACATCCTTAGTCCGAACGGCTGTAGTGTGGAGTCGGGGCTGGCGACGGGACAGGCGTTGTGGGACATCTACCAGCAAGTCGGTGGACCACCTGCCCAATCTATTCAAATCAGGACCATCAGGGGCCGATTCCAATCATCAACACATCTAAATTCCTTAGACATACCTCCTATACCTCAGTGGACCTTTATTTGGATCTCACATGCCCAACCTTCCGTTGGGGGTGAACAGTTTGGATCGACAAAATCGAGGTTCTGGCAGGTTCTGTGCCTCAGCAGTTTCCTTAAAGCGACCGCGGGAGGTTCTGCGCTGGCGACCGGTGAAGCGACCGCCGCCTGGGTTTCGCCGTGGTTGGGATCCCCGAGACGAAGTCGAAGTCGAAGCACCATGTACATCACGGACATCCATGTTTGACCAAGCCCAGACACGACCTGTCTGGGACTGCCAGTCCGGACTGCCGAGAGTTCCGGCCAGGGGTGGTTTCGGGGGTCAATGTAAGCATATATTACAGTCGCATGGAGTGTATGGGAAGGATTTTACGTAACACTACACTAGCACCTCGGAACCCCCAGTCTACCCCCTTACATCAAAAACCCATGTGTTTTCCCAACCAGAAATAGCTTGTGGTGATATACAGCTAAGTCTGTGAGAGCCACGGGAGTGTGTTTCTAGAACTCTTCTTTCTGAAAAAGTGGATTGAGAGAGTAGAGTGGATAGAGAGTAGAGTGGATTTAAGAGTGGCCACCTAGAGCTCTGACTCTTCTCTCTTAGGTACAAGTTACCCCAAGTTGGGTGTTTATATGGACCCCCATCGAGTAGATGGCCATCCTCGGGGCCCCCCAGTGCCATAACAAAACCACAAGATGTGAGGCCACTTCGACCCCCCCTAGCAAGAGGGACAATTGGTGGGAAAGTAAACCAGAACCATCCACAACTCATTGGGGCCATGGGGCCAGGGCCAGGAGGCGGCTTCGCTCCCCACACACTCTCTTTCCCAGACACGACCCATGGGACTGCCATATATGCCAACATTGGGGTGGTTTGGGGGGTCAATGTAGGGATATATGGCATACATGGAGTGTCTGGGTTTGGGTGGCAAGTCACAAGCCCCGGCACTGCATGAGTCCACATGAGTCATGAGTCATTTCATGAGCCTTGGAACTCGGATATGCAAGGAGCTGATGAACTCTGGGCAAAACGGTACTTCCAGGGAATTGTTCTTTTTTTCCCTGGGATAACGGCATAATGTCCAGGGAATTGTGTGTGTGTATGTGTTATTTTTCGAGATCATCCAATGGGTGTCCAATAGGCTATACCCCACCCTACTTGTAGGCCTCCAGACAGAGCACCCATTGGAAGCGCTAGGTTGTTTTTACTATTTAGAGGACACTCATAAGGGTGTCGATCATGGTTTCCGGCAGAGTTTTCCATCCAATCCAATGTTTTGCGCATGAGGATGGCCAATTCATGTGGTGAAGTATGCTTACTTGGCGAGTGTCCAAAAATCACATGAAAGAGCCAAACACCCTCAAACATCCAACCCCACCTGTTGTGTCTTCCGAATGCCACCTTTTGTTGTCCCCAATGAAGGGAGGGAGGGTTACCACTCTTTTCTTTGGGACGCCCACTGAGGAACTCTTTGTTTTCCATACCAAAGACAAAAGTGATAACTGAGGAGCAACTGGGTATGGAGGCCATACCCAGCGGGCAATTCTCCCAGGCTTTGCTGGTGCCTTGAGCGCTTGCGCCAGCGCAGCCTGCTGGGCCGAGGCGCTCGCGCTGCTGCGCTCTGCGCCGCCGGTGGACGCAGGGGTGGCCACAGTGTGGAGGGTGTGCGACGTGGTCGCAGTGGAGACCGGTGGCCGAAGGGATACCGAAGGGATATGCTAGGTGTTTCCTTAGTAGCTGGTGGATAAGGGAGCCGGAGGTATCCAGGTTCATATTCCCCTTTCCGGGAAGCCCTTCGGAGCGATGCGCGACCGGAGTTCGAAGAAGCCACTGGCTATAGTTCCAATATGCTTGCCTGTTTGTTTTTCTTCCTGCGCCTGGGAGACCCGCAGGGTGACACTGGGTGACCGTGGGTTTTGAGAGGGGCCTGCGGTCAGCAGGACAGGTCAGCAGGCCCCAGTTCTGAAGGTCAACTCGCAGGTCTCACCAGAAGTCCGTCAGGCTGACGGACCAAGTTCCCGACTGGCCCACAGATGTATATAGAGAGGTGTCACGGTCAAAAAAGATTGGCTTTCAGATCCATGTGATTGTCATGAGGCATGAGGCAGACCAACCAAATGATTGTCATGTCGTTTAGTCAGTTAAGTTATACTACCAACTTTGTGGCGCTCACTGAGCTCACATGTCCTGTACGCCACAATGCAATGAATTTTTTGATAGCACATAGTTCATATAGCTGTTGGAAGTCGGGTATGAAAGCAGATATAGTCCTTGGCAGAGTGAGTGGGTCAAGTCCACTTCAGGATTGACACATCCCCTCTTAGCCTCTTAACTCGTTTCAACTCGTCAAAACCCATATTAGACATCGCAACCCACACACTTGGGAATTGAGCCAGCCAAAATCAGCCAAATATGCGTTTTAAGATGTTTTAAGGAAGGAGCCACCGTCAAAAGGACGATCTTGAGGTCACTCCTTTATTTTGGTACCCTGACCCTCCGTTCTCCCCCCCACGGCATTCAACTTCCCCGTATTACCTCTCCACCAAGGGGGAACGGTATCGCGGCAGATCGCCCCATGTTCCCGGGCCACCATCCTCCGAGCTGGAACTTGAGCCTGGTTTTGATCAGGTGATTCTTCTTAATCCCTGCCAGCGCCCCCGCAACTTGGGGTGTTTAATGAAATAGCTCCGTTTTTGGAGGTGATTCGGGGTATCCATTAACCACCCCGGGCACTGGAGGTGAATATTTTGCCCAGGTTCCTCAAGCCGCAACTGCCAAGGGCTGCCAACAGAGGTTGAAGGACCCTATAGACTATCCCATATATGCATGCCTGGACCTTCAAGGGGTGTCCAATCGAGGTCCCTTAGACCCCTTTGAAGGTGCTGGTAGGTACCCCGAGTGACGGATCCTATTTACGGTCACTTCATCCAAGGGCTGGAAACTTGAGCCGCGAATGAGCGACTCCAAAGTCGCTCACGCAAGGCTGGAACGCCGCCATCGATGCCGCGGAGCCGCGCGGTACCAACGGCGGCGGGTTTTGGGGGTTGGGGTGTACGCGAGACAGAGAAAGCAGAAAGCACGAAGGAAGGTGTGTTTTTTCTGTTTGGTTTCTCCTCCCCTTTGACTTTGGTCCCTTTGGTTTACTATAATCATGCACCTACATCTGCTTTCAACAAATACAGCCAAAATCCACTGAAGCCTGACCGATGGGTTCGACACCTTCGACACGTTCGACACGCTCCGAAGGCTTGGGGGTTGCCACCCTGGTGACCGAACTGAGTCTTACCTTGATCTGAGTGAGCTCATTCCCCAGACACGACTGATGGGACTGGCATATTTACCTATAGATTGGGGTGGTTGAAAAGGGGTCAATGTAGGTAAATATGCCAGTCCCATCAGTCGTGTCTCAGAATTCTGACGATCTCACATGCAAAGTGGTTGACCAAGAGAAGTTAATCACATACAGCTGGTCCTACCCTGGGTGTCAAAGACCAAAATGGTTTGACTAGGTAACCCGAAGTTCGACTTGTCCCCTTTTCGTCGGCGATGCCAAACCATCCTCTTTTGGTCCGAAGAATCCGACTACATCGCCAGCATCTCAGGCGTTCAAGTTTCACCACATTGGCACCCCAGCCGCAACCAGCCACAGTAGACGGAGCCCTTTTCTAAAAGGACCTTTCGGTCAGACATTCATCAGAACCCACCCGCCATAATATACGTCCATGTTGCGTCTCACAGCTGAAGACCCGAACTTGAAGGAACCTGTAGACTCGAACCTCCATGGCCGGCGAGCCGCAGGACGATTCCCCCTCCTGGGTGGATGAATTGGAAGCTGAGAGTCATTTCCTCAAGGCCCGTTTGGCCGAATGTGAGGAGGACTTGCTGGCGGGCTTCGGCTTCGCCGACGACGCGTCGAAGAGGAAGGGCCTCGTGGCCTTGATGGAGCTGGGCGTCACGCAGGTGGAGCGTTGGGACTCGGAGCGGCTCCGCCGCGCCGCCCAGGCGCGGCTGCAGTCCAACCGGAAGCGAGGTGGGGGACCGGGTGCGGAGGAGGGGGACGAAGGGCGTGCCTCTTTGGAGAAGCTCTCGGAGTATTTCCAGAGTGCCGATCTGGCCGTGACGGAGCAGCTGGGGAAGGCGACGGCACGACTGACGGCCGTGACCAGGCAGGAGGAGCTTCTGCGGGCTGAGTTGGCTGCTGCACAGGAGCGGCGGGCGACTCATGAAGAGTCAGCAAGAGAAGAACAGCTTCGACATGACTCCATCATCAATGACCAAGTGCAGGAAATCAAACTGGAGCTTTATCAATTGGACCACGAGGCTGCTGAACTTAAGCGGCAAAGTTCTCAAAAGTTCCAGCGGCATGCTGCTGGGAAGAAGCTCCTTCAACGCATCTTCAAGTTCATGTTGCCAAGTGGCTTTGCTCGAGAGATCCTATGGAGATGGAGATTCCTCTTGCCTCCATAAGAGGTGCTCCTGAAAAAGCAGGACGGACCAGAGGTCGCGCCAAGTCTTCGGGCTTCGCTCCGCTCGGGATCACGGCGGAAAGTCTCGGCATGTCTTGAAGGGCGGCGCAGGACGGATGGTGGCAGGTCGTGCTGCTACTGCTTGGGCGGATTGAGGAGCTGATGGTTGGATTGGACGGCGCAGACCTCCGCCGATTTGCCTGCATTGAGGAAAAAAGACCGCTTGGGCAAGCATTTCTTTGTGTTTGCCACTGTGGAGGTGGTTTTTCCATTGAGGAACTTCATGCCCTAAGCTGTTCCTTTTTTTTTTAAAGATTTTCTGACACATGGTGCCATGGTCCATGTCGACTTGACCCAGACATTTGCTCGTGACGAGGAAGGCTCAACAATGGCAAGTGGCCCTCCACTTGTTGCAGCTCGGATCACCGGAGTGCCAGGGCAGTGCTGCTGTGGTTGATCCCCCCAAGCTTCTGGTGTGAACCACCGGGCAGCCCTGATTTCCGACTGGAAATCACATCTGGAGTTGCAGCACTTTGAGTAGCAAGCACCAGTCTTTTTCTATACGAAGTGATCGATGGGATGGGGATGTGGAACAATGGTTCTTTGGCATCAGAAACAGTTTGGATATGTGGTCTACTTTCCCTGAATCAGGAGCAGCGTGCCAGCAAGCAAAGTCATTACTTGGAAGGTGGCACCCAAGTAACCAATTGCAATGATTCCCAAAAAACAGATTGCATTCATCCGAAGTCATGCAATAATCCAGGTATCAAAAGGACAAAACAGACTCGTTCAGGTACCAGCTTTTGCCCCAGCTTGAAACAGATCTTCTGGAGCTCTTCGGCCTAACCAAAGCATAACCACTACCACCCAACCAAAACCGACCAGCATCATCCTGCCTGGGTGTCTTTGCTGGAGGTTCATAAGTCGCGGGCCAAGTAGTCTATTGGTGACCCGGAAAGAAGGCTCTGAGAATGTTTTTAAACGTGAAATTGTCAGATTTCAGTCGAACGCGCATTCAGATTGAATCTTTCGCTGGTTGGAGGCGATGCTTTTCAAGGAACTTCCCATGATCAGAGCATCAGCTTCGGCTCGAGGCACTGCATGCCGCTCGAGCATCATCTTCTGCCGGACACAATCAGCTGCCCGGCAAAGCATCGAGATCTCCAATGTCCAAGGTGGTTTGGAGTGGTTTTGGGAGAATATATATATAATTTATATAATGTGAATACCTTCCCTCCAACAATCATGAAAGCTGACCAGGACCCCCTTGTAACATTGTAGAGGGAAAAATCTTCCAGGGGCCGAACTGTTCCACTTCCAGGGGCTTTGTTTCAGGGGGTCAATGTAGAGGTCAATGACCCCCCAAACCACCCCAATGTAGGCATATATGGCAGTCCCATGGAGTGTATGGGTTATCTTATATATTCCTTTTGCACCGGTCCGAGGAACATCACAGGGTGGTGGTTTTGGAAAGGAAGTGGGGGCGCAAGGCTTGTAGAAGACAGAGCCAGCAACGACTTGTAGAAGACAGTGCCTTGGTTCAATTTCTGAAGATGTCTTAAGGTATCTAAGTGTTTGGCTGTCGAAGTTGTTGTTGTTGTTGCCTTTGGGGCTTTTGGTCATCGGGCTGGCTAAGATATGTATGGATTCACTTGGATGTTTGGTTCTTTTCAGAGCTGGAGCGCAATAAGTCTACTTCTACTTGTTGAATCATGTGTGCGGAGAGCACCCCTGAAACAATACAATTGACCAAAGCCGGTGGTTTTGCTATTCCATGCCCTTCCCTCGATTTGAATATCTTCTTCCTCCATGGTAATTAACTCACACTCTGCACAAGCCATGTTGAACTCTGTTCGAGGGTTTCTTGGGGCCTTTGTTTGGAAGACGTTCCTGATGCTACACTCCCTCGAAGAGTCATGGAAGTGGCAAATGGCCTTCTGGATGAGCATGTTCCTCTACACCCAGGTGTGTGTATAATGAATATTTCAAAATATTTCAATCATAACCTAATGATCTACTGAATCTACTATAATATGTAATATAATGCTGGCATAGGAGTCCCGTTTACTTGAAGGGGTGGCAGGGGGTCGAAACTGGTGGCCACTGCTCGGAATTCACTCTTCGCAGCCTCGAGGCTTCAACTCGGCCATTAGCGCATGTGACAAGGCGAGCTGCTGGCAAGAGGCGCTACTGTTGTTGCAGCTCAGTTGAGTTGATGAGCGCAGTTGCCGGGGGCAAATCCACCGGGCGCTCCGGTGGGCGGCCTTCCTGCGGCAAGCTTTTTTGGGCCCACACAGAATTCCACAGCAAATCTTTGGGATTCAAAGGGCCCCAAGCCAAGGGCAGATGAGGGACAAGAACAGAACACGAACCTCTATACTTTTGGTTGGTCCGGGCTTGGCTTGTGGGAGAGAGTGCTTTCCTGCCTGAGCCCTTCCATTCTCCATGTTTGGGTGGGATCTTCCCACAATCTCCCACACAAGTCCTTCGAAGACGGTTGATTTGCCTCACCCGACGTATAAATCGGCACCATTGACGCAACGCCATCGATCAGAGGCATGCAGCCACCGATCGAGATGCAATCACCTTCAATGCCAGCATCAGTGCATGTGCGATCCACGAGCAGCAAGTCAGGGGGGGCAAACATGTGGGGAAGACCTCCCTGGCCTACCCCACCCCCGTCAGCAAACTAAAAAATAGGTGATGGTTTCGGATATGTTTATTTTCAACCCTTACTTGGGGATGATTGGACCCCCTGACTAAAATTTTTCAAGTGGGTTGAAAACACCAACCAGAAAAATAGAACAAGGACCTAAGGACGGGAAATCGGAAGACCTCCCAAAGACCCCCCGTAATAGTAGAAGGAGGAACATAGACCGCATTAGACCACAACCCCATTGCTGTTTTTTTTTTCCCGCTCATGTTTTATACACACAACTCCACGTGGGAGGTGGATGGGGGCAATCAAGATGGAATGGAAATCGGATTGCAATGTCTAGAAACCACAACTATCAATAGTGTGTTGGGTCATGTTCCATGGAATCTGGGTGGCTGTGAAGAACAATGGAGGGTTGCTTCAATTGTTGTCCCAAGAATCCAATATATATCAGTCAAATTACAGCATGACTACTATTCTACCAAGACCATTAAAAAAAGGTTGACCTGGTTCTGTAGTGGAAGATCCCTAGTAAAACAATGGTTTTTCGGTAAAGCCTACATTACTTTACCGAAATTAATTGTGGTTGGAAGTTGGAATCCTGTGAAAAGGCGACTGGACTTGCACAACAAGCTCTCTTTGGGTTTGCCGGGTTATAATTGATGTGGTGGTTATTGGCGAGCTCCTTTGCAAGCTTCGTGCTTGCCACACCCCAGGAACGCGTTTGACCTTGTTGCAAATCTTGGCAGCCTGCAGCCAGCTGCTCCAGACGAGGTTATCACATGTTATCACACACGTTCCGCAACTAAAACCGACGAACATTTGCCCACTCACTGCAGGGAGCCCTTGAGAAGCTGAATGGCTCGTTCGCCCAGACCAATCTTTGCATCCCGCCTTTTCTCCGAGACTCCGACTCCTCTCCCCGCCAGACTCGCAAGACTCGCCGCCATGTCACGCCTTGGCCTCTTCCTTTTGGGCGCTTTGGGCGCCTCTTGGTGCTTCATCGCGCCGCCACAAGCCGCGGCACCCAAAAGCCGCGGGCTTCGACAGCGGCTTTGCGCCCAGGCCAGTGTACCAATAAAGGCATTTTTGGGATTGAACAGCCTCTTCATATCGATGGTGTTATTAAATGATCAAGAGTCTACTACGTTTAAGGTGATAGTCGTGATGTTTACAGTATTTTCCCCCAAGTGGGTGAGTCCCCTTCCGGGGAAGATGATTCGTCCCCGGATTCCGCAGCGAACCCAAGCAACTTTGGCTTGATGTGGTTGCTAGGTTGTGGCTCATAAAGGCAGGAGACCCTGCAGGTTGTTTTGCCGAAGGGGTTCTATTGAGCCGAACGGCGTGTGAGGTGAGGCGGCTTGACTGGGGGCTTAACTCATTTTGATTCGATGAAGAACACCAGAACTGGAGATGCATTGTTAAGTTCATTGCGGAGACGTGTTTTGGTATTTGGTCATATTTGGTCTATTGTATGTTTCAATTGTGGCCATGCGTCTCACGAGCCCCTCAGCGACCCACGTTCGTGCCGCGGGCACGCGGACCCGCCCTTCGTTCCGCGACGCGGCCAGGGTGTGGACCCCGGTGACTGCAAGGCGGTGAGGAACACTGCAGTGGGTGGAGTGCAGCTGCCTGTGATGGATCCTGGGAGTTTGGTGATGGGTTTTCTTTTTGTGTGGTGATGGGAAGATGGTCCCTGTGAATTACTGGCGACATTTGCTGACATCTGACGTGAAATCTGGAGATGCTTGTTGATGTTGATTCTCCCGAACTGGGGTGAGAAACACCATTGGGTCTATATGATGTGCGTTATTCTTCTTTGTGTGTTATTGTTTGGTCTCCAGCCTGGGTGAGAAACGCCTTCTGGTCCATGTGTGGTCCATAAAGCCCCTTATGTGGATCTGGTCCCAATCCGAGGATGAAGATGAGCCCGCCTGGCTCTCCTTCGTGATCGCCCGGTACTTGGACGAGGTGAAGCAGAAGGGCCGAACAAACCGGTCCCGGTGGGGGGAGAGCTGCGTGAAGGGGGTGCGGGAGTCGCATGACATGTTTTGGGTGGATGGATCGGTGGGTGCTGTGTGTTACTTCCTTTTTTTCCAAGAAGTCGAACACCACCATTGATTGAATAAGCCAGAATCCCAAACTATCATCAAGACACCGAGCTGTTTGAGGGGTTGTATGCTAATGTCGACGTCGGATTAATCAACGGCCCCCCCCCCCCTAGAAGGTCAACAAGGTCAACAAGGTCTGAGATTGGAGGTTTTGGAGATCACATCCCCCTAATAGTGGGGATGACCTGATGATGACAGGAGGAGGAGATGAGATGGGATGGAATGATGAGATCCATGAGAGCCCAAATACTAATTCCCTTTCATCATGAGATCCATGAGAGCTTATTGGCACAAATTTGAGTTCTGAGATGATGAAAGGGAATTTGATTTGGAAGAATTGGAATGAAAGGGAATTAGTATTTGGAAGAATTGAGATGAAAGGGAATTAGTAATTGGAAGAATTGGAATGAAAGGGAATTAGTATTTGGAAGAATTGGAATGAAAGGGAATTAGTATTTGGAAGGGTTGGGATGAAAGGGAATTAGTATTTGGAAGAATTGGAATGAAAGGGAGTTAGTATTTGGAAGAGCTGGGATGGAATGATGAGATCCATGAGAGCCCAAATACTAATTCCCTTTCATCATGAGGTCCATGAGAGCTCATCATGGATGGGGTTGACTAATAGGGGGGGGGTACCCCACTATTAGAGGGGGGTAGGGGGTGTATGGGGGGTACCCTTTCTGAGCTTCTCAAATTGCAGATTTTGATAGAGTTTTAATAAGGGAAAATGAAAGAATTTTCCTAGAGAGTTTTTGGAAATTCTAGGAAAGCTGTTGCTTTGGGAGAGCATTGGTAATCAATCAGAAGATCAGTTTCACCATGGTAAGACAAGAAAATATTGAAAAGGCAAAAAGAACAAAACTAATTAAACACACATATATATGGGGGTTTCAGCCAAACAAATTTTTTATTAGAGGGTGGTGACTGTGGAAATTCATAGTTCAAATTAGTTTATTATAGGGGCCTGAACGCTGGGTAGACTAATGGGGGGGTTCCCTAATCCTAGGTTGACATTACAGCAGATGATCCCATTTCAAGGGTCTTTGAACGTCTTTGACTTCAACTGGACTTCCATGTTTTTCAGGTGATCAATCCTAGGGCTCCAAGTACCTTCGTTTCTCAAGGTGTTTGGGGTGGGAGTCAGGAAGGTCCAGTCATGACTTCCTTTTGGAGGTACTTGTGTATATATTATATATATATATTAATTTACGACTTGGAGCCCGGAGCCCCAAACGGGCAACACCTGTGTAGTCACCATGAGTGCTTTCGCCTTCCGACCGAAGGCGCCCGGTGGTGGCGCAGTCGTTGGTGGTCGCGCTTCGCAGTCGCAAACGTCCCAAGAGAGGTAGCCAGTGACCTGAACTAGGACCTTACTGGGGTATCCAACTGGGATAGGCTATAGGCTAGTTCGGGTTATATAGGGTCCTGACCCACCTCTGTTGGTCAGGAGTGGCTGGAGCAGCCGGTGCATCAGGAGATCGGCCAGGCGGTCGCCAAGCTCTACCGCGAGAGCCGCGACGAAGGCGTCGCGCCGAAGGAGCCGAAGCCCATCCGGTGGAACCGGGGGGGGGTTGACCTACAGAGGTAGCCAGTGACCAGGTCACTAGGACCCGGAAAACCAGTACCCAACTAGGAGAGTCGAAGATGTCGAAGTAGGGTTCTGACCCACCTCTGGGAGGTCATGTGAGGTCGTTGGATGCCTGAAGAGATCCAAATCAGGTCGTCACCAAGACTCCGGTGCTGTGTCACCAAGGGCGGTCCCCCCATGGCTGCAACGCTGCAGAGAGTGCGTTGCACTGAACACTGGGGTGAAGAGCCATGACCGCTTTCGGCGAAGGGGGGGCTATGTTGGAGGCGATTCACGGTGCCGAAAGATCGTGTGGTAGTGCAGGAGCAGCATGAAGAGTATATACCAGGACCGCTGCCCTCACTAGTTTCGCCCTGGCCCACCACGGCCCAGGGACCTCCAGACAGGACACCCCTTGAAGGCCCGGGTACATATACTGAATAATTATGTTGGCTCTTCATTAATTATAGTAATACTCCCCCTAACAATGGAGACTCCTGATTAATAATTTGAGCGTGAACAAATCAATAGGTATAACTATTATATTATATATATATATATATCATACCTGGATCTTCCAACTGCGATCAGTATTTGCCCTTTCATCTATAACAGCAACCAAAATAGGCAGACACATTGCAAAAAAAACATCATATAAGGTAGGAAGATATTTCTGGAACATATACGAACATACTGTATACCCTAGAAGTCCAGTTCGACGATATTTTGACCGGCTGAAGAAAAGGAAGTTCCCAGACTCAGTTCCCCGTTCGTCAGACCATTCGGTTTATACCAGCACCATCCAGCAGGGGTCACCTGGCTGGAAGCCCCTACACTACTAAGGGACCTCGATTGGACACCCCTTGAAGGTCCAGGTAGTCATTCTTCACACGTGGTGATATAGCAAACACGGAGTCCTGGACTCCAAACACTCGTCGAGGCCCGGCACTCCAGTCTGGTCGAGGCCGGTCCGGGACCGCCGCGCCACGTGGAGGTGACGACGATCTCATCGCAGTGTTGGCCAAGCTTTCCTTTGGACTGAAGGCCCAGGGCGGCCGGGCGCGGGTGGAGGAGGAGTTTCGCCACTGTGGGGTCTAGGGCATGGCGAGTGATAGACTTGAGAGAGTGCCAATGACAGGGAGTAGCACAAATTCAGATATTTTAGACAGTTTTTTAGGTCGGGTGTTTGCAGTGGGGTGAAAGGGGGGATGTGTCATCCACGTTAACATCGACACATCCTCCAACCCCAGAGAGGAGGGTCAAATGACCCTACTTGAAAGGGATCCGAGCAGAGTTTCGACATGTTTCTACCCATGGCCAATGGATTCTAGCTGGTTCTAGCTTGGAGGATTGTTTCAAGCCTGCGTGGTTTCGGATATGTGTATGTTGTGAAACCACCAATGTGTGAAGCGCTCTTCCTTCCACTCGGCGGGCTGCGTTCGTGTGAGGAGATGTGGAAGTCTGCCGGCTTTGCAGAAGCCTTTGAGGGGCCTGTGGAAGTGGCCAACCGCGTGGCAGAGCCTTGAAGACATGAAAGGTTCACGATGTCCTGAAATGATCATGGACGTGGAAGTGGAGTGAAAACCGGCCACTTTGCGTTTCATTCAAAACATGGATTCCCCCGAACTCGGGGGCCACACGGGCCGCACATCACCATGATTCTTTCAGGGAGTGTAGGGCTCAAAAGAGGGAGATGGCCATGCAATTTTTTTGGCAAAAGGGAGTTCAGAGACAACCTCTGGGTTGCTTGGTCAGCGACATCCATATGGATCATATGGTGATACCTCCCCAGGTGTGGGATCAAGTCCCATGGAAGAAGCTGATTGCAGATCCTGCTGCAATAAGTTTCCGCATGCCTATTGGGGACCACCGTGTTGCAAAAAGAACAGTCAGACACCGCTGACAATTAAAATTTCAACCAAACCGTGCGCGCCCACAAAAGTGTTTTTTTTCTGCAGTAAAACGTTGGATGAGTTCTTTTTTTCAGGATCCATGTCCATGTTGGTAGAAATCGTTGAGTGATAGTGCATGATTGTTCCGAAAGCGAATTTTGTTCCTGGAAGGGAAGTCACAACCACAACAACAACAACAGCAACAGCAACGACAGCAACCACAGCAACCACAGCAACGACAGCAACCACAGCAACGACAGCAACGACAGCAACGACAGCGACAACGACAGCGACAACGACAGCGACAACGACAGCGACAACGACAACGACAACGACAACGATAACAACGCCAGGGAATGTTGAGTCTTCAAGATCGTTGACTCCACAATCCTAAGGAGCTCTTGATGCTGCGACAAGGCACGGCTTGGATCGGCTTCGTGGTCTTGGGTTCATGCGTATCATCTTTGGGAACTGGCAGGGTGCACGAAATCCACTCAGATAGCTTTTGCATGGTTTTGCAGTAGAGCGATGGACTGATTAACATGTCATAGTCACTATAGTCACTGTAGTCTGATCCATTCTGGTCCATGGCAGCCCGTTTTTTCCCCAAGAAGGCCCCCAGCCAGGTCCCAGAGCCAAGGTGGGACCTGGAGCGATCGATATGTGACACACGAGGGGATTGGGATGAAGGGAACATGTACAGGAAACTGATGGTTTCTCGGGTGAGAACGAGGAGGGGATTAATGGACAATCTGCAGGACACCGAGTGGTTTTTGGGGGTGAGAACAAGGGGTGTCCTGTCGATGTGTCCTTAAACACATCTATTATGACACCCAGAACTTGTTGGATTCCACAGGACATCAAGACATATCAAGACAGCAAGCCGGTCTCTCCCCAACCCCTTTCTTGGTGTCCCACATTAACATACAACCTCTCACTCAGCAGAGGAAAGTTATATGAGGCAGGGTGGGGGTCTCCGTTCTTGCTTTGCCGGAACCATCGAGTCGCCCACAGACTATCCCAAGTCGTGTCCCGGATGAGACTGAACACCCCCCACCCGGAACAGGGAATCACCTTTAACATCCTACCTTTTTGGAGGATTTGGCTTCCCCCACTCCAATCCAACAGGTGGACACTTTCCATCGTCTGACCAGAGTGTCAGCGATGAGCTAGCTACAGAGGCTAGCAAGGGAGTTGCAACAGCTGGACACTTCGGTCCATCTTGATTTTCCGGCATCCATTGGCCCCCCTGAGTCTGCCTTCCAAACAAATCGGGAAAAAAAAAACCTGCGTCTCGCTCCGAAACCGTCTCGTCCGGACCAAAAGGTCCGGAAAACGGCGGACGGGGGTCGGACTGAAGTCGGTGGCGCTGTTGGGACGATGCCGGCAGGTGGAGAGGTCTGGAGCTATGGCCGCAGCAACTCGGACGTCCAGAAGAAGATGCTTCGACGCTTGGAGGCGTGCGCTTGGTTTCCGGAAGGGGAAGATAAAGATAGATGCCTCCGAAACACCATGCATCTATAAGATTCGCACATATATATATATATATACAGATATATACAGTATATATAGACTAATTCACGCACACACACGTATGTATATATATATTATTACGATTATATACATTATTACGATTATGTTTTTCCCTAAGTGATTTATGTGATTTGGCTTTGATGCGTGTTGGTGGCTCTTTCCTAATTGCTGTTTCGGGGCCCATGTTGTCTCTTTTCAGAGACGTCAGTTTCACAGATCGGATTGGTAGTTGCCCAAGCTCTCCATCACCTGTTCCAAAGATGTCAGCCTTGGCAGGAGTATGAAGAGGTCGGGGCCTCACAAGGTGGCGATGTAGATGGGCGCATGATGGAGATAGATGGAGAAAGGAGACTTGAAATACCTTGAAAACTGTTTGGATTGTCTCAGTGCAACTACACTGGGCCATATCTTTATAGAGCTTCTTGAATTGTTTGGATCCTTCTTTCTTCCCACCCAAAAAAATCGAAAGTATCGATGATGCTCGTGGCCGGGACAAGATGGGACAAGGGGTCGGCTTCGAAGATCCCCGGCGGATCGGCTCGTTGAGTGCCTCGTTGCCGCGATCGGATGCCGCGTTGACGCGGCCAATGTTGCGTTCACCAATATCCCCGTGGGTGGCGGTCTCAGGCGCTTCTGAGCAAGCATCAAAGGGAACCTCGCCAAGTAGATCAGTCTAATGCGAGTGGTTTGCATCAGATCACAGCTAAAGAACCTGCACGTCTCAGCCCACTAGTGGGTGCCAAGCATTTTGAGGAGTAAATGCGGCCCCAGTTGGGTAGTATAGATGTTGCATTGGCTGGGTAACTTCACCCACCGAATTGCAGAAGCCTAACGCGCGAGAGAATATGAGAGGAACGGTGGGTTGGAGGTATTGCTACCCTGTCAGTGAATACCTGAACTCAGTGGTTCACTCACCTTGAACCTTCATTATCCAGGAAAGCTGAGAAGGGAGTCAGCACTTGCATGCACTTGCTCAATTCATGTGTGTAGCTGCAACAGCTGACGCCCTGCAGCGCCGAACGCTGACAGCGCGTGCTGAGGCCCGAAAGCAGTTGGCGACGGTTTCCTGAGGCAGTTCCTGCCGTTGAAGCATTTGAACAGGGCTTGTATCACATGGGTGAGCTGCCACGGTGTTTTGACCGAATTCGCCTTGTTTTCAGGGCTGGTCGGGGGGTCCTCAATTTTCCGAATGGCCTCCTGAAACCCCAATACGTCACGCGAACGCGGAGAGAAAGGTGTGACGCTCTTGCCATTGCAGACTGAGAGAAGCGTAAATAAATATTGGGAAACATCACGGAGCATCTATACTATAGTTACTATAGTTATAGTTTCTCGCCGCATTGAAGAAACTTATTGGTCTTTTCTGTGTACAGACACATCACAACTTGAGTTGGCACCCCTTGTGAGACATCTACCAGTGGCAGCTTGGAAGAAACTGACTGGTCAACAAAAAGTACAAGTCAAACCTGAGTTGACAACCCTTGGGCAAAACATTTCGTCTAGTCTAGTGGCTGAGCATGGGAGGGCTCATAGGCTCGGAGCATGCATCGGACTCTGAGCCCATGAGTTGAGTTTTTCCCTGCTCTGCTTGATGAATGTGCTCTCCATGATTCATTCTAAGTGGTGTCAGTGGTGAACCCAGATTTTCGAACACATGTTTCACTAGGTTTTTTTCCGCTCAAAAGGGAGAGCAGTCCGACAGTCCTGATTCAGCTGCAAGGCATTCCAGGCCTTGGGGCCTCAGTACAAGCTGCTTTGAAGTCATGAGCTTGTTGATCATGGCATTCCAGCATTTGAAGACCGGAAAAGAACTGGTTAGTCTTCCAGGGTGTCAACAAGACTGGTTAGTCGTGAGCTTGTTGAAATTCCAGATGTGCAACCGATTTGCCCTCACAATATTGGTTTGGCGGTTTGGCGCGGGTGAACGAAGATGCTTCGGTCTTAGTGACCTAAGGCCCCAAGATCAATACGGTGATTAATAGAATTCCCGTTAAACATATTAAAACCCATTCAATACGAATGATTTTATTGTAGATGTTCCCTGCTGTTCCCTTAAACCCAGGCTCATTCTGGTGGAGCAACTCCTTCCACCTTGAAACTCTCAGGAAGGGCGAGGAATGGCAGCTGGCCTTGGTGTTGCTGGACAGCATGCCCGATCCATGGATGAAGAGTTCATTCTACAAGCTCCGAGAGGTTTCACGATGTTTCACATGCATTTATTTGCGTCGCACATGTGGCGTGAGAATAATACATGTGGGTTTCAGAGTGCCAGATGTTGGTGGAGTTCTTCCCAGTCACAGCTCAGGCTCATGTTCTTGATGGCCGTCGCACACAAAACACAAAGAAAAGACACAAACTTTGTTTGTGGCCACGCCTTCCACTTGCAGATCTACACACCCTTGTGTTTCATTGTTGAAGATAGTGGTGGTCGGGGTTGGTAGGTGCAGAACTTTTTATGGAATTTTACAAGGCTTGGAGTGGGATTTGTATTGATGTGTATAGGTAGGGCCTCATTCTGAGGGTAGCAGCTGCCTCCACACCAAGGAGCAGCAGCTGCTGCCCGACATCATCAGCTTCAACGCGGCCATCCGCAGTTGCCGTAGCCACTGGCAGCATGCGATGCAGCTTTTTTCCGCCGCGGCAGCGGGCGGGCGGCGTTTGGAGGCCTCGAGCTATGTGGCTCGGAGGGGGTGAGGGATGCAGGGAGAGGGGGTTGGAAGTGCATGGAATTGGAATGTTCCGAATCATTTCACATCACGTTCCGGACCAGAGGACCACTAGTATTTTTGCGCCTTCCGTGCAACCATTTCAAAAGGACCAGACCTGGTTTTGTAGTGGCTTAAGGTTTCAGGTGCAGGTTTCACCGGCCAAGCAAGAACCGTGCACTCCTCATGAACCGGGCCGTTATACATATATGTCCTGTTCAAGCCCTCACGCTGTTTGAAAAGTTTGCTTCAAGGGGCCCGAAGGTCAGGGGTCACGTGAACGAAAGCATCATCATCCCCTAGGGATCCAGTCGTACCTCCTCAAAAGGTACTTGGACCCTCCCCAGTCCCACCTTCTCAGAGGGTACTTGGATCCTTAGGGATCAGCCCTAAACTTGATTTTGACAGCCTTACCGAATCTGAATCTCACCCAATCCTAGCTGTTCTATACCGGCATTGGTATTCCGGCGGTTCATGTCAGGTTCGCACTCCACCAGTCAGGGCTCACATGCTTCTTGATGTGTCTCAGCTGCTGCTGTTTTCACTCAAAGCCGTTGCTTTTTGCAAACACATTGCCAAGACCAAGACTGACCACGAGTTCCGGCACCTCCCTTGGCCTTGGCACACATGACAGGGAAAACAAAAACATATCAGCAGTGCTTTCCGCCATTTGCTTCCCCACATGCCAACTATGTCCCCCAAGACGTCAATTGAAATTGGACGAGGACATGAAACATCATGAAACATCATGAAACATCCGGCTCCCGCAGACCTGCAGAAGAAAAGCTCAAGCAAGTTTTGGGACGGGATTCGTTCTTTTTGCGCCTTTGCCCCAAGCGCCCAGCGAGCAGCTGCCCATCTTTTCTGCGGCAGATCCTGTGGAGGTCCTGTGGAATGACGGAAGGCCGGGAGCCAATTTCGAGCCACCATTGGTTCGAAGTTGACCCCTGAAAACCCCTAGCCCTACCAGTCCAGTCGGGCCAAGTAAAATCTGGTCTCACCGACCTTGAGCATATAGACACATAAGTATAGATGTGTATTACTGTATAAGCCTTTTTTTTGCATTGCCCTGGACCTAGTGCATCCATCAGGTCTCCCTAGGACCTCTAGAACAGACATGTGAAAAAAAACGTGATCGACTCTATATACCAGCACCCGACTCTACAGGTCTCCGACATGGTGGCTGAAATGCAGACTAAAAGGTCGTAGGTGGCGAGCCGGGTGCTGGTAGTAGGGGACCTTCATCCCTCGGGAGGCGTTCCGTTTTTCGCCCGCCTGGCCGCCAGGCATGGTCACCATCCACGGGCAAAAGCTCTCGGGTGAGGAGTTGCTGGACCGATCTGAGGGCTGAGGGCGGTTCAGCCGAGGTGCAAAGTCTTGCCGCCCCAGTCTTTATACATACACATACATACTAGGGTTACTAGGAGCTAGGTTTGTCATATGATCACGATTGTTGCATCATTGACTATAGACTAAATAGATACCGGCCATATGGACCCAAAGAGCTGCCACCTAACCATCATCATCCACTGGGCCGTTCCTCTTCTCAAATACTGTAGATTTATGGCTTTTTGCCATGAGGTCATGGGGCCGTCGATATAATTCTAAATTCTGAAGTGACGAGTGCATCTGTCAAACTTTGGTCACGAGTTTTTTTTGGAAGTAGGCACCCTGGAATTTGCACCAACGCTGTCCTATCTCACCTCCTAGTTACCACACGCTATGTTGGCGCAATACTCCTAGGTCATGTGTGGTTTAATGTCAAAAACCTCCTCAAACCTTTGCAATCTCAAACATTTATGTGTGAACATACTTGTGTGTGCCAGGGTCATTCTTGTATGTTTTGACCTGATGAGATAGGAGTTTTGGCGTATAGGCTATTGCATGATGACGTAGGATTTTTTTTGCCCCACCATACTTTCACAACTCCTATCTCATTTCCGGGTAGTATAATACAATATGTTACAACTGTGATTTCTGGTAAGAACCATTGAATCAATGGTGGGCCAGGAATTTTAGGGCAGTCATGGGTGGTCTTTACTATTGTCCTATGATGTCCTATGTGTGGTGGCCTAAATCATTGCAATTTCCTTACATGGTGGCCTAAGATGATGCCTCATTGTTTGATGTGTTCTTTTTCTTTCTCGACCAGTGAGTGGTGACATGGTCGCTTTCAATCTTAACGCGCCTCACTTGGAACTCTTGTGGTGCCCGCCCGAACTGCAAATGGAGAGCATAGGCAAGACAGGAAGTAAGTAAAGCGAGATGATTGCCTGCTGAGAGCCAATCCCAAAAGCACTCTGAGTCACTCCATTCATGGGAACCAAATCATATCGGGCCAGTGTGGTTTTCATTGAGTGCAACATCAAAAGTGTTGCATCAAAACCAAGAGGAAATGGAGACTATGAGACTCATCAAGGGGGGATTGATCAGGACGCAGACTGGGATTACAAGTGAACAAGTAGCAGAGCTTTGTTCACGGGATCCATTTGCGGTCAATAGACAGCGCATCGGTTTTGCACTTCGAGTTTTATTTTTTGCGGGGGACCTGATTGTAAGGCTGCTGCCGGTCTATCTCAACTCTGCCTCCACCGTCGCTGAGCTACTGGGATCGCAGCTGGGTGGTCCTTCTTCTTCCCCGTTCAACCAGGAAACCGACGACGTGTTCCTCTTTGATGTGGACGTATGTGCACCATCAGCACAAGGGTCTTTGCTGAGGGTTCACCCGGACTAAGAAATGGACTGCTTAGAGCCTGCGTTGCAGCGAGATGGAGAATTAGGACTTGCCAGTGGCAGGGCCGATGATTCAACCACCTGCCACCTCCAATTTGGATGGTGATTCAGATAACTTCATTTGTTATTGACCTGCCAGGTGAGGTTCTCTAGACATTGTGAAAGGTGCAACTCCTTCCTCTTCGTCCTCCTCTCCTACTCGCACTCCTACCACCCTGAGCCAACCCAAAAAGACATCCAACTTGAACGTTCTTGAGGCTCTGCGACATCTTCCAGCAGCAACTGGAGACCGAAACCTCCAAGCCTTCACGCTTGAGCCTGGCGCTCGAAGGGCCCCTTGATCCTGGCGAAGTCGATCTGGGCTGCGGGTCGGTCGAAAACCCCTTCAACTCCTCGGTGGGGCACGGGCCATCAGACATAGAAGGCAGAGAAGATGTAATGATTATAGATTGGGTTTGTCCGATGTTGTCCTATTACCTGTAACAGGACCCGTAGACAAGTAACACGATCTTGGAACAAGTCTTTTACTAACCATCATCCACTGGGCCCTGGTAGATTCGGATAGACCCAATGTATAGAAGTCAGAGTCATATCATATCAAGTTTATTCATAGCTTGTTTTGTGACCCACATGTTTTTTACTTCTACCAAGCCCCTGGTCCCACTGGCAGATGGCAAAATGACTTGTGGTTTGACTGCATCGCATCTACTGGTGGTCAGACTAGGCTGAGACATATTTTGTTCTTCTTGTGGAGTAGTAGTAGTAGTAGTAGTAGTAGTAGTAGTAGTCATTCATGTTTGTACCTTCCTGCCCAGGCACCGCAAATACGCCCTGGAAGAGACCCACATGGAAGCTGAAAACCCACTGGTGTCTAGAGGAAAATGGTCTTCCCAAAGTTCTATTTTCAGGTTCCATTCTTTCCGGGTGTGCTTGCGGAAGTCTTTGGGGAGAATGTGACCCCGTCATCTCAGGCAAGCGCTTCGAATGGGGGACACCTTGACGGAAGCCAACCTGAAGGATGGCGATTTGGCCCCTTGACCCCGCAGGAGCGGCCGTACTTCGCCAACCGAAGTGAAGACAGAAAGAGTCATGACCCATATGACTGTCGTGAATCGTGTGTTGGACGCATTTTAGAGGTGTTTTTTGTTCCATTTGCACTTGGAATTCCTTCACCTTCCATGCTGGAGAGGACCTTTGAACACGTTTAACTTTTATGATATGTCTTGTGATCCCCCGGTGTTGCTGGAACAGCTGACTGGAAAAAACACCCTCCCGTTGGACTCGTTGAACGTCTCCAGCGAACATGGATCGCGCGGTGGGGACAGATCACAAATTAGATCAAATCCCAGACACTCCACGTATGCCATATATGCCTACATTGGGGTGGTTTTGGGGGTCAATTGATCGGCATATATGCCAGTCCCATGGAGTGTATCGGAATTGGTGGTCGGTCTTAGTAGCTTCTTTTTGGACCATCGTCGATACGCGCATCTGAGGATCGGGTTGGGTCGGCGTTTGGTGTTTGTTTTGCTGCCCTCAGAATCTGATCGACTGGCCCTCATCCGCATCATCGGGTGGCCAGAAACCGCAGAATCCCAAGATGTGAATCACCTTGGTAGGGGGAAGCGACATCGAGAAGGTCTCTTTTTTGGGGAGGACCTCCACGTCCATCCCAAACACGACTAATGGGACTGCCATAGGACTGCCACCCCAGACAGACCCCCAGTCAACCACCCCTGGCCGTTTCTCGGCAGTCCGTCCTGGCAGTCCCAGACAGGTCGTGTTTGGGTATAGCTTCAGTGCGTTCGACGCCACCGTTCTTCGACGCCACCGGTGGTGCCGTGCCCCAAATGCTCCGAGGTTCATCTGATCCTCCGACCGGACGCCTGGATCCTCCGCCAGGCGCGGGCTACCCTGGGTCCAGGCAGGCGGCAGGGCAGGGCTGGGGTTGGAACCACGAAGAACTGCATTATTTAAATATGTTGTTTCTACTGAGGAGTTCAGACAAGAACCCAGTTCGGGCAGTTTTTGTTTCTCCATGGCCTTGGAAGACTAGGGGTACGTGAGTTTTCTGAAGGGGAATGATTGGGTCATGAACCAGGTCCACCAGGATGGTCAAACATTGCCATTGGAGGGTTGATTGAAACACCACCACCATGGCCCAGGAAAGTGAAAGCACGCTGTGACCCCAGAAAACAACCACATAGTCATTGGCTTTGTGCGCAGATGATCCTCTGT